CCCACCCTGTATAGAAGTGAAGTTTTGGTAAGTTAAAATTTGTGAAAATAAATAGGCTTTCAACTAGTGCCTTCCTTGAACTTCTGTGAAATGTTTAATCCTTGAAAATTAAAATTATAACTGTTACCCTTTATAAACTTAAGACATACATAACACTACAGCCATGTGCACTGTTTCGTAGAATGTGATTTTAGTTTCCAATTTTAAAGAAACTTTAACATGAATATAGAAAGATTCCTGCATTAATAATTTCTGTTTAGGAACTTCTCTGAATTTTTTAAAATTGTATTTATTTGTTTTTAGAGAGAGGAGAAGGAAGGGGAAAGATGGAAACATTGATGCACAAGAGATACATCAATAATCAGTTGCTTCTTGCATGCCCGTAACTAGGGACCTGGCCTGCATCCAGGCATGTACCCTGACTGGGAATCAAACCAGCGGCTTTTCAGTTCGCAGGTCAGTGCTCTATCCACTGAGCAACACCAACCAGGGCAGAATTTTTTGATACACTTTGACAACTGACTATATTTTATAGATTTTTTTTAAAATGTATTTGTCTTTGAAAAGTTAGATATTTCATTTGTCTCTATCCTCACTTGCTGTATTAAAAATTATGTAAACAGTATTATAGTAATATTAACTAAAAAGAAAGTAGTTCACCCTTACTCCAACAAAGAACTCCCATTCTTGACCATATGCCTTTATAGTTTCTACATAGGAATTTGTCTAGATACTCTGTTTTCTGATTATTTTCCACTTATAAACATATCAATTTTTCATGTTACTGTATAGTCCTTTTTTATATTTAGTACACTTAACAGTGTCTTTTAATCATTTACCCATTGCTGGGCATTTTAGTTGTTTCTAATTTTTCACTATTATGAATAACTTTGCAGGGACGATCTACATATAAAAAGTTCCTTCTTTTTAGCATTCCCTGGAAAAATTTCCAGAAGTATTTGAATAATTTCATGTATCATATCAGTCAATAAGTTATATGATTTTTATAAATGTGTGGGTTATTAGAGCTGTAAGGGACAAATAGGTAAATTTAGTAGTTCTTTAACCTATGACCCAGCAATTCCACTTCTAGGAATATATCCAAAGAACCCTGAAACACTGATTTGAAAGAATTCATGCACCCCTACATTCATAGCAGCATTATTTACTATAGCCACAACCTGGAAGCAGCCCAAGTGCTCATCAGTAGGTGAGTGGATAAAAGAGCTCTAGTACATTTACACAATGGAATACTACTTAGCTGTAAAAAAGAAGGAAATCTTACCTTTCATGACAACATGCATGGACTTAGAGGGTATTATGCGGAGTGAAATAAGCCATTCAGAGAAAGACAAATACCATACGATTTCACTTATATGTGGAATCTAATGAACAAAATAAACAAACAAAATAGGAACAGACTCATAGAAAACAGACTGATAGCAGTTAGAGGGGTGGGGTAGAGGGCTGGTGAGAAAAATGAAGGGATTAAACAAAGAAACCCAAAAGAAACCTCATAGACATAGACAACAGTATGGTGACTACCAGGGGGAAAGGGGGTGCGAGGAGGTACAAGAAGGTAAACAGGGGATACATGGTGAAGGAAGGAGACCTGATTTTGGGTGGTAAACATACAATACGATACACACATGATGTATTATAGAACTGTACACTTGAAACATATATAATTTTATCAACCAATGTCATCCCCAATAAATTCAATAAAAATTAAAGTAATAATAATAATAATAGTCCTTTAATTTTACTGAATAGGGCACAGAGACCCATACAAGGGAAGCGAATTATCCAACACAACACAGATAGCATCTGAGTCCGGCTTAGTCAAATCGTCTCCTTTAAATGTTTAAAAATCAATTCTGAAGAAATGATATGATGCCTGAGGTTTGCTCTAAATTACTTTGGCTTGTTTTTTCCTTTGAGCGGGGGTGAAATGCAATGGGCAGTGAGTTATTCATTTTTGAAACTGGGTGATAGGTCCATTGGAGTCATGATAATATTCTGTGCAAATGGGCATGTTTTAATTTTCCATAATGAGAAGTTTAAATAACCCCTAAAACATTAAGGGGCACAGGGCTCAAAATAAGTGGTAAATCTATCAAACTTGTGACTCAAAATTGCATTTTAAGATCTGCAGCAGATTGTTTGTGAACTGAATATATTATATATCATTCAGCTGTGGCTGTTGAGGTTTTTAAATGTTTTTCCATCATGACTATAATAAAAGATGCATGTTTCTCATTAGCCATGCTAAAACTATCCAAGCTCAGAAGCTGAACAAACAACCCACTGAATTAATTAGCACTTGAAATATGAAAATTACATTTGGAACAAAATTAATTCTTTAAATAAAAAAAGGCAGATTTTCCATGACACATGCATGCACATGTTTATGGATCAGCCTAGATATATTACATGGTGATTATGATCATCTGCATAATTAATTCAAATAAAGGTATGGCACTCAGAATAAAAAGACTAGAGGTCAGCAGTTTATTATTGCAAAACAAACCTTCCTAACAAATCACATGGGCTACTTAAAAAAAAAAAGCTAACTTTAGATCATGGCATTCACTTGGTAATTTATGTAACATCAAGCACAATATATCCAGGATGCTTCAATCTTGAGTTTAGGGGATGAAACATATCCTAAGAACACAGTGAGATATGAACTTAAAGAGTCGAGCAGGAAGTGACAAATGTCACTTTGTAACTATCCAGTTTTAAGGCCACAAAAAGCAGTGAGAGGAGGAATAAGACAGAAAAAAAGGATTCTTAACGCATAGTTCAAAGTACTAATTTATAGGATGCACTATGACACCAGCATATTTTTGGTGGGATTTTTGTTTTCTGATAAATGCTAGAAAATAAATTTAAATATCTACAATCCTGTCACCCATAATAGCTCCATTCAATATTTGGTTTATTTCTCTCTAGCTTTTCTGTTGTTGTTGTTTTTTCAGTCTTTTTTCTATGTACATATTATCATATGTTTGTTTATTTTTCTACTTTTGTAAAACCAGAGTCATACTCTAATTTTGACTCCTTCTTTTTTTCACTCAACAACATACCTAAGTACTTTTCCCCAAACAGAATTCTTGCATGGTATAGTATTCCATCCTGTGGTTGTATCATAATTTATTTGACCAAACATCTGCTACTAAATATTGAACTTAATCCAGTTTGGGGTTTTTTTTCCAATTTTAAGTAACACGTTTGAAAATTTTCTTGAATATAATTTGCCTGTATTTTCAATTATTTTCCTGGACTGGATTCCTGGAAGTGGAATTTACTGGGCCAAAGGTCTGAACTTTTAAAACTCTTGATAAATACTACATTCCAGAAAAGTTATACAATTAACGTGTCCATCAGCATCATGACTACTCTGTCACCATCTCTGTGATTCAGATCAGAAGATCCCAGACCAAACACAGATGAGAGGCTTGGCCCCCAAACAGAACAGCAACAAGAAGAAAACCTTTTCCCTTCAAAAACCAAGGGTTGATCATAAATAACGACACCTGACAGGTGAAAATCAGAGGCGACTGCCTAAGACCACCGCCCCGGCACTGTCTGTCCCAGCCCCACAAACCAGCGGCGGCTCCCCCAAACTCGCTGGCCTTCCTCTTTCCTCCAGGAATCCGTACCCCCTGTTTCCCCTGCTGCAACATCTCCAGCCCGCCTCACTCACTTCCAGCCTGCCTGCTTTTTCCTTCAGGAATTTTTCAGTAATCCCCAGTCTACATTACATATTCTCCCACTCTGCTTCGACAACGCCCTGCATTAGCTCTATTTCAGAACTCGTTTCACACTCTGAAGTATGATTAACGGTCTGTCCCCACACTAGGCAGTGAATTACTTCAGGGCAAGGACTGTGTCTTCATTCGCTGTTGTATTCTCGGCATCTACCAAAGTACCTGGGATACAATAGGCACCGAAGGCAAATTTATCATGTGAATTATCATTCACAAAGCAGGGAGCCCAGGGCAGGAGTTAGAGAACTTTTTCTGTCTGTAAAGGACCACACAGCAAACATTTCTGGCTTTGGAAGCCACTGGTCTCAGTCACAGATACTCAACTTTGCTTTGTAACACAAAAGTAGTCATAGACAATATGTAAATGAATGGACGTGGCTATGTTCCAATAAAACTTTATTGTCTAAACCCAGTGGCAGGTTGGGATGTGGACCATAGTTTGCCAATCCCTGGTTTAAAGGAAGAAACTTCAAATTTTAAAAAAGGAAGAAAAAGAAAAGATGATGAAAAGGGACTTAATACTTTAAACCTACGCAAAGTTTAGGCTAAACTGTACTTATACAATTCAAGTTATTACACTTTGTACTCTCAAATTCCTTTCATCTGTGCCTCGGTCTGTAATGCAAAGTAAAGGGAAGGGAAATGACTGAAGGGGGCAGCAGAGGGCGGCACAGTGACGGGAGCTGAACACAGGGCTTAGGCCTTAGTCACAGGCAAGAAAGGGTCAGCAGGACCAACAGAGAGGGGCTTAACCTCGATGGGATTCGACAGGACTTTTAATCCATACAATCGTTCTGAACAGCATGACTAAATATCAGTAACCCTGGGTGAGACACACAGAATATTACGAAAATAGGCTGCAGATACATACAGTCAACAGCTCTGAATTTCAATAGCTCAAAATTACGCATCAAGACAATGTGTGTGCTTGCCTCCCCAGATCCAGGAAAAGGAGGGGAAAATGACATCATGCAACGGGAACGGCCATTCAGGTTCAAAAGTAAGTCCCTTCTAATTGCTGGTGCTTTCCTGCCTCTGACTCCACCTGTCAGCTTCCCCCTCCCCACACTCGTGCCCTTCCCCACATCCCGCCCGGTGTTTTTACCCCTCTGGCTGTAGCCACAGAAGAGGGCCTCACAGCTCAGCCTGTGTGGGCCAGGTGAACCTGTTTCGTCTGGAGTGTGTACAGTCTGCCTGAGAAGTGAGTATACTTAATCAGAGCCTTACTTTTCATAGTCCCTTCCTCTTCCTCATCCTCTGCATTGATCACCATGGTGCCCAGCTGTGAGGGCAATGTGTCATCGTGCTCAATCATAGTATTGGCTCCATCACTCATGGTGTTGGCTACTCGGACGGTGCCCATCTCATCACCTGCTGCTCGAACCATCGTGCCAGAATCCAGTTCATCCTCCTCCTGTAAAAGGACAAAATCTCAAATTAGGGCTAATTTGATCAGAAGCGAATTTTCTGAATTACTATTACTCATGTTGGTGCAAGTATTTCTGGATTTGACACTTATTCAGGGTCTAAATCCACTCTGTAGAACTGAGTGCCCTCTTATTTAACCAAAGAACATAAATTTACCCAGGTAAGAGCAGCGTATCTAACCCTAAAGGACCTTCCCCTTTTCCCCTTCTTAATAGTTTTGCAACATAGATCTAAGGAGCTGAGATGTACACCCTTGAAGTCTTAGGGTTGTGAAGGAGCCTGTAAGTGTAAAATCTACATATTTAGTATGAATCCGAGATTCCCCAAAAGAACACAGAAAAACCAAGTCTCAGACCTGGGCATTCTCTTTCACAAAAAAACAAGTTATACTGAATAAAAAATAAAATTTGAAAGTGTTTCAGGAAGCACTATAAGAAGAGCAAGCAAGGACAGGGCAGTCACACAGGAAGTGTCCAGCTCCAGGCTGATCCAGTATCTACGCGTTGGCCTGGCTTGGCAATCATGAAATAAGAAACATTAATGCCCGAGGCCCAAAGCCAGGTCTGCCACTCACTGAGTTTTCGTCATCGTCCTGGTCCACCTCCCGCTGCTGGGCTTCCTGGCGTTTCAGTTTCACATCCATGGCTTCGTTAATTAAGTCCCGCAGTATCGACACTCCTTTGGCGCTCTTGACAAATGGGTGCTTAAACAAGAAGGTGAAAAACGCTGGGACAGTTTATAGGTAACAGTGCCAAGATAGTGCCTGGCACAGAGCAGGTGCTTGATAGTATTTGTGGAATCAGTCAATGAATTTAATCTTTCTCATTTTCCTTTGGACAATAGCTAAACCACATTCATTTTATAAGTGAGCAGGTGTACATTCAGGCTTTGCCCACCTTTTTTGGCCTGGCTGGAACTGTCTCCTCCCTTTCTCTCTGTCCAATCTCGAGATTCTCAACAGGGTGGTTATCACCCCAGAAAGGGAGTTTTGTAGTGTTGGGAGCTTGTGGTTACAATGTTTGAAGAACACAAACAGTACGGGCGGAGAGGCAGGGACACTACAGTCCTGCAAAGTGAGGAAGACTGGCGCAGCAACAAACTTTGGCACATTCTGCACATCTTTTACTGATGTGCAGAGTACATGTACACTTTGATAAATAATACTGAAAACTTTTCCAAGAGATAAGCAAATGCTCTAGTAATTTGGGAGGTGAATTCGGAGTGGGGACTTAAATAGAATAAAGACATTGTTTAGAAATCACTGAATAATTTACTCATCTTGTTTATTCTTTCTGTTCAATGTACTTTCCAACTATGCATTTAGGTAAAAATGATTTAGTGTAAAAGTATAGTTACTGCAATAGTAAAACTAGTTACAAACATGTAACAGATGCAGGCTCAATATTCAATCAGCAAAGACACTTGAACTATAGGAATACTGCTGGATTTCACTCACAAAAATGAAGTTTTTAAATACGATTACCATCTTACATTTTTGTTGTTTGTAGCACAACTGTAAGAAAATCATGCTGTGAAAGTTACACATAGAAATTCTTGTGGGGGGAGGGTCGCCTGTTGTTTTCCAAATGTATTCTGATACTGTCCCTAGTATTTCTCTTCGTAATCCATTCTCTGTTCCCCACCACCCATTAAAGAATGTGGTCTCCAAGTTCTTTGTAAATACTCTATAGATTGAGAGCGTATTTCGACATGTGGTGGGATCACAATGCAGAAGGTATCTTTTCCATAAAATTTTATCAATACCCCAGCCAGGCAGGGAAGAATTTTGCCACTACGCTTGGAAATAAGAACCAGCTCATTCGCAAGAATGTCATTATTTCCTGTTCTATCCACTTGGATAGACTATAGAATCATTTCCCTCCTCTTATCATATATAACTAAGTCTGGTCTGCTATTACTTAATATTAGTTCTATGCAAATGCCTGCCTGTTCATATTCCTGTATTTCGTGAATGGAAAGGTTTCTGCTCTCATTACTGCTCTTAAATCTAAATTCTTTCATGATGATAGGTACAGGTCTCTACTTCACTATGTCTGTAAGTTGAGTAAAACTGGAGCATTCCTATATTGACAAATATATTATTTCATTATAAATCATTATCTTTACATGTCTCCATTGTATCATAGACATTATATTGATTCTTTTTAAATTATGGGCATTAATAGATTTATTATCTATGAGTTTCATTCCAGAAGAGTAATGAGTATTAAAAATACATGCATATACATGACAAGGTCTGTCCAGAAAAAGTCCAGCCATTGTTAATGTAACGAGAATGGTTTGTGTAACATCGATGTAACCTGACAGCCAAGGAGAGCAGGCTGGAATGCGCATGCGTGAACAATGACAACTTCATTGTACTAGTCAGTGCGGTAGGCAGACGCCACTGAGTGGGCATGTGCACTATGTGGCACAGCTTTCAAAATGACTGAGCAAGTAGAGTAATGAATTTGCATCAAATTTTGCATTGAAGAACATTCCTCTGCGGAAACTATTCAGATGATTCAGAAGGCTGCAGCTATGGACAATTGGCGACTGGCACCTTCGTCACAACGTGCCCACTCATGTACCACATCTCATACAATACTTTTGTGAAACATCAAATCACCCAAGTCACTCAGCCTCTCTACAGCCCAGGTTTGGTGTCCTGCAACTTCTGGATTTTCCCAAAACTAAAATCACCTTTGAAAGGAAAGAGATTTCAGATTGTTGACAAGGTTCAGAAAAATACAACAGGGCAGCTAACAGCAACTGGGAGAACTGTGCAAGGTCCCAAGATGCCTACGTCGAAGGGGAATGAGGTGTCTTATATCTTCGTCACTAATTGTCTCTATTTTTCACAGTACATGGCCGGATACTTTCTGGACAGGCCTCGTATATATGGGGTCTGATATGGTTGAAAACCAATTGCCTAGCTCAATAACAACAGCAAATATTTGTCACATCCATATCATATTATCTTTACCATGTGTACATTATTATTCAAAGTTATACATATCACTTAATCTTCATAATATAGGAGACAGGTACTTTATCTCCATTTTATAAATTAAAAAATAAACATTAACACAGAGGTTATATCACTTGCCTAAGGTCATAAAGCTAGTAAATATGGAGCCAGGATTCAAACCTGGGCAGTCTGAACTCCAGAATCTAAGTTCCTAACCACTAAGTACACTGCCTGCCAAATGCCATCCGTCCTTCAAGGTCCAAGCACAGCAGTTACCTCCTCCAGAAAAGCATTCCCAGTTATCTCCAAAGTGACCTCCTCCCACCCTGAGCTATAGTACCCCCTACCATTAATATCCATTCTTTGCCAGAAGTGGGTAGATCTGACGGCACTCCTGCTTTGGAATCAAAAAGACCTAGGTTTTAATCTCAGCTCTGCTGTTTGCCAGCTGAGTGTCCATAAATGAGTTAATCTCTCTAAGCTTCCATTTCTCACCTATAAAAATGAAATAATACCTATCCCTTACAGGGTCTATGTCATAATTAAATGATTTAACATGTGAAAAGCACCCAGCACACAGCAGGTACTCACAAAATGTCAATTCCCATTCTCCAATCCCAGAGAGCCCTTTATTTTCTTGTCTATTGTCTTGCTCAATGATGTAACATTCTTTCCTATGTCTTTCCTACTTAGATCCAGACCTCCCGGAAAGCAGTAAATTTCATACTTCTTTATCACATCCATGTAGGTGGGTTAAGAGTCATACCTGCAGGAGCTGAGTGGCTGTTGCTCTCTGCTCAGGGCTCTTTACAAGACACTGCTTCACAAAATCCATGAAGTTATCTGACCACAGTTCTGGCTTTCGGAATGTGGGAGGGGGGTTGGTAGGAATCATAAAGATTGCCTGGTTTAAAAAAAATAAAAAAAAATAAAATAAAGTTATGCTCCAATAAAAATGTAACTAGAAATACATTTGAGTTTGATAAAACAATTTTTCTCTTATCCACTGAAGAGACCTCCTAAATTCCAACAAAGTCTAAGTATTCAAAGTAAGATGTATGACTACCTCTCCCTCCCCTCCCTTCCGTCTACTTCCTCTTTCATATGTATTCTTGTCCCCCCAAACCTCACAACATCCACCAAGCCTTTTTTTAATTTTTGTTAATCACCTTTCACTTTGTACTTTTCACTTTGAAAGTACATTGCCTTTCAAAGTGAAAAGGCAAGACGAAAGAGCGTCAATATTCTGAAGACAAAACCTCAGCCCCACAGTTGCCAAATTTCCCTCCTTCCTACAGGTTACCACCACCACTGAATGGGAGCAGAGAGTGCAAGGAGACCCTAAACCCAAAAGTCCCCAAAGTTACAAACGATTCATTAACTTTCAAGCCAAGCCAATTCAACATACTTGAAAGAAAAATTGGCCCACTACATTGCAGTTAGTTAAAAAAATACTATAGAATAAAACTCTTACTGAGTTCTCAATAAAAGAGCCGCAGTTAAAAAAAAAAAAAACAACACAAACCTTTTTGCAAATAATCAACTTAAATTATAGTCTTTAAATCTGAAAATATAACCAGTAAATAATTCCACCCATCTCCACTTCTGTCCCCCCAAAAAGAGAGGAGCTTACCTTTGGGCCCATGAATGTTTTTTTAAAATAAACTGTTAAGTCTTTCAATATGACAATTAATTAATCAGTGAAGAGAAGGAGCTGGGTTGCGAGGTATAACAACCATAAAGCCCCTGGGGAAGGTCGAGGTCCTACAGCAGTGCTGTGGTGACGGTCCTGGGGCGGGGAGAGCCCAGAAACCCGCTGGCATCTTTCGGTGGAGGGTCAATGCACAGGCCCTTAACATTCTAGAAGCAGATGATGTGGGAGAGTACAGAACCTCCAGCTGAAGAGGGTCTGGGGATCTACAGACCACAACTTACAAATTTAAATACCTGTAAGGGCCAGGCAGAAGACAACACATGACCCAGGTTGGGTGTCAGTGACATGTGTTCAAAAGAATAGTTTTTTGGTTTTTTTGTTTTTTAAAGAATTTATTTGTTCATTTTTAGAGGGGGACGAGGGGGAGAAAGAGAGGGAAAGAAACATCAACTTGTGGTTGCATCTCGCACGCCCCCTACCGAGGACCTGGCCCTCAACCCAGGCATGTGCTCCTACACTGGGAATCAAACCCGCGACCTTTTGGTTCGCAGGCTGGTGCTTGATCCACAGAACCACACCAGCTAGGGCTCAAAAGAAGAGTTTGCTTTCCTCTTAATACTACTGTAAGGCAAATATTAAAGAAAACACTGCAGAAAGTAACAACTGATACTTGGGAAATGGAATTGTGGAGACTGATCAAATGGGAAGCCTGGGCCCTGTAAAGGAGAAGACCACTACTCAGCTCCATTTAATATTGCTGTGTTAAAATGTGAGCATCTAGACTAAAAAAATATACATTGCACAGATCAAACCAAGCATTTCTGTGGCCCAAGTCCTGCATAGGACTATCGATAACACAGCTTCTGGAACGAAGTGGGGTAAATTATACTTGAATTAATTGGAGACTACAACTAGTGGAAGTGTATTATCTGGAGTCTAGCCTGACATTTACCAATAACATACAATTAATTCATTTATCATTTGGTACCTAACCAAGTACATCATTTAACTAGCTGTCTAATGATGACCAGTAACTAACCAGCCTTCTGGTTTTCCATCCATTTCCTTACCCTCATTGGATGGATATCGGCATATGGGGGTTTTCCTTCAGCCATTTCTATAGCAGTTATTCCCAATGACCAGATGTCTGCCACACAGTTGTACCCAATTTCCTGAATCACTTCTGGAGCCATCCAAAATGGTGTTCCTATTACTGTATTTCGCTTGGCCATGGTATCCTAAAATAGAAAGGAGTGAGATGAACACTAAGCATTAAAACCATTAAGAAAAAGAGACTTTTCCAACAATAAGAAATGTCTTATACTTGAAATACATATCATACTCAAGGTATGACCAAGCAAGTCACAAAGGAAATTCAAATGACCTAGAGACATAAAAGATTCTCAATCAGTTACTAAAACACAAAAAATAACAATCAATCAATAACACACTAAAAAAAGAGTGACAAAAATTAAAAAGATTACTAATAACTAGTGTTGACAAATGTTATTGAAGTATAAATTGGCACAACCTTTAGTAGGCAATTGGCAATATTAAACTTAAATGCCCATATCCTTTGATCCAAATTTACTTCTAGACATGTATGTTATGTGTAGGCACCCCAAGATATACAGAGTGGGGCAAAAGGATGTTTACAGTTGTGAGTACGTGAAACATGGAGTTTATCCTTGTATTACTACTTACTATTACCTAATTTTTTATATGAACTGTAAACCTACTTTTGCCCCCCTCTGTATGCAGTAGTATTGTAGAAATATTTGTAATGGGTGGGGAGAGGGAAGAAATAGGGAGTAATCCAAATGACCATCTGAAGTTAAAAACAACAAAAGTCCACACAATGAAACACTGCATTTAAAAAAAGAGAGAGATACATACATTTTTCTGGCATGGAAAAAATGTAGAAAGTATATTGTGAGGCAAAAAAAAAATGGTTGTGAAATTATATAAAACATAACCTGTTTTTGTAAAAATAAATAATGGAACAACAAACCAATAATAATAAATATTGTTGTTATATGGATAGCAAAAAAACCCAAAAACAACAAAAAAACCTCAACACACAGCAAACGATGAACAATTATATCTAGAAGTTAGAACCACTAAAGACTTCTTTCCATCCCATATCCTTCTGTAACACCCTATGGTTTACGTGAGCATGTATTACATGTGCAAACAAGAAATTTAAAAAAAAGGAAGTTATATATCTATATATGCCTGTACATATACATGTACATATGTAATTTTAAATAACATGTACTTTATACCACATGTACATAATTTTTATATAATATATGCATATACTAAAGTCTTAGTTTGAGGATTTAAGAGGAATATACAGATATATTACACATGGGCAAGTACCCACGCGCTTCCCCAGAGTGGCAGGGTCCCAGTGAAAGAGGACCTTCCTACAATTCCTTTGTTTTAGGAAAAGAAGGATTTTAAACAACTAAATATGCAAAAGGACTTCTCATCATCACCACCCATGTTCCTTCTGAAATGCCTGTGGCTTAAGTTAGGTTATGTTAGCCAGGAGCAAATGACAGGTAATATATTTAAATTGATCTTACTTTGGCAGTCCAATGAAAAAAAATTAACACAGGAACTACTTACTGCTTAGTCATTTCCTTTGCTCTAAAACTTAAAATTTGCATGGGTATTTTCAAACGGTGATGGTCAAAGTTGTTTTCAAGGATTATAACTAGAAATGGGCATTTGGATAACCAGAAATTTTTTGAAAATTTAAAGTAATGACTAGATACCACACAATTGGATCAATGGAAAATATTAAGTCCAGAAACAGACTAACATGTTCCAGGTAGATTAAAAAACAAAAACAAAAAAACTGTACATAATACCAGCTCAAAAAAGCAAACAAAATATATCTACATAATCTACCACTAAGGAAACTGTTAGATATATAACTTTGTTGCAACTTTTAGTATACACTTGTCCAGAACTGTTATTTTTCTACATGTATGTCCTACACACTCACATATTTTACAAAATCAGATAATTCTAGACTTCCTGTTTTGAAAACTTTTTTTTTCATTGCTATGCACTGGTGAGGCAGAAGGAGAATCAAGAGGCTGCATCCTGGAACCAAATGAGGACAGTGTTTTCAGCGACTGCCAACTGCTGCCTGAAGGTTCAATGACAGGACGTTATGTCTTATTCAAGGAAAGCAGTTTGGATTTAATTTTCTTCCTTTTATAAATGTAATGGTGTAACCCAACAGAATTTAAACTTCTTCTCTGTCATTTCTTGTTTTAGATTGTATTTTTATCAAAGTTAACCAAACTTAAACTATGGCACCCTAACCCCAGGAAAGAATCTAAAATAACCTACTAGCTCTCTGGTAACCTGTTGGTACATTCTGTGATTTTTTTTTTTTACCAATACAATTAAATCAAATATTATATTTTAAAAATAAATAAATGAATTCCTTCTCAGGACACAGCTGAAAGTTACCAGTACAGGAAACATTTTTACTTACTGTAAGTTGACCTGCTACGCCAAAATCTGCAAGTTTTGCATGTCCTTCTGTATTTAGCAAAATATTTCCTGCCTTGATATCCCGATGTATTTTTCTCATAAAATGAAGGTATTCCAGTCCCTTAAGTGTTGATTGTAATATTGTAGCTATTTCATCTTCTGTTAACTGCAAAAAAGAATGAGAAATCAAAATTCCATCAGTTTACATCAGCATATTTCAAGGCGAAAAAAGAGCTGACCCAAACTCCTTTCCGAGAATATAAGATCTTATTCAACCTGTAAATGGCATTTGGCAACTTGTAATACGATTGTTACACTGGCCACTCCCAAGATTATGTTTCCAGCTCAGATCTCTCCCCAAACATGAGTCTTATATCTGCCTACACAACATCTCCAATGAACACCTAACAAGTATCGTAGGCGTAACATGTCAAACTCAAATTCTTTATTTCTGCCACCACCCTACCCCTCTCCTTACCACCTACCCAACCTACTCTGCTCTTCCCTGTCTCCTCCCTCTCAGTAAAAGGCAATTTCATTCTCCCAGCTGCTCTGGTCAAAAACTTTAAGGTCATTCTTGGTTTTTCTCTGTCTTCAAAATATATCCAAATACATTCTCTGCAATCATCCTGGTCCAAGCTATGATCATGTCCTGCCTGAACTAGTCTAATAATTTCCTAACTGGTCTCCTTGCTTCTGCCCTTGACCCTCTACAACGTATTTTCCTCACAAAATTCATAAAGAACCTTTTAAAAAGTAAGCCAGATGTGCTCAAAACCTCAATGGCTGCCTAAGTCACTCCCAGTTAAAAGGCAGTCCTCACCAAGGTCTTACATGATCTGGTTCCCAGCTACATCACCTTCTACCACTTTCTTCCTTGCTTGTTCTGCCTCCGTTATGCAGGCTTCCTTGATGCTCCTCAAACACTCCAAACACACGTCCACCTCTGGGTCTTTTCACCTGCTATTCTCTCTGCCTACGATCCTCTTCCAGATTTCATCCAGATTTTTGTATGACTTGCTCCCTTACTTCACTGTTTCTGTCCAAATGTCACCTCATCAGAAAATCAGAGGCCGTCCCTGGCTCCCTCCATTCCTCCATCATTCTCTATTCCTTTATCCTACCTTATTGGTCAAAGCAGCATTATCACCATCTGACGTGCATTATTTGTATATCTATGTAGTGGCTTCCCTATTGGAAACATAAAAACGCTGCATTTAAAAATGTCTTTGATCTGTTTACTACTGAATCTCTAGCACCAAGAAAGCCACCTGACACATAGTAGGGTCCCCCAAAAAAAATTTGTTGAATGATGGTGAACACATAAAACAACACTGGAGATTGATATAGAATATGTGAAAAGTCACGGTCCTAAACCAACTCAATCTACAAGTTCTCAGCTCCCCTTAAGACAAACAACTCATATTCAGAAGGAGTATACTGTGGTGCAAAATATATGGAATTTAGAAATAAAAAGACCTAGCTTTTAGTCTTGGTTCTACTTTCTAACTGTGTGACTTAACCTAGTTATCAAACTTTTCTTGGTCTCAGTTTCTAAATCTATGGAATAAAAATATCGCCAGTCTTCAAGAGTGTCATGAAAATGAAATGATATAGGGCATGTAAGAATACACATGGTTGAACAACCACTACACCATCAACCAATCAATAAATATTTAAGAAGCATTTATTATGAACTGGTACTATGCTAATAACATTAAAAGTAGCTAACAATTACTAAGCATTTAATTTATACTAGGCACTATTTCTGTAATCTTACTTAATCCTTATAATAATCAAATGGGGTGGGTTCTATCATTATCATCACCATTTTATAGATGATGAAGCTGAAACCCCAATTAAGGAATTTGTGCCAAAGGTCACAGAGCTAATAAATGATAGAGCGTTCGCTAAAGTCCGAGGAAACACTGGTGTCAGGGTAGCAAACTAGAGTTCTGCGCTTCTGCGGCCAAAGTGGACAAAGCTCATCACTTGCTTCCTGGCACCTTTTTCTGAACGGCTGGGCTGATCATTATGGTAGCAGTGCCCAAAAGAAATACATGTGAGCCACAAGTATAGCTTTTAATTTTGTAGTAGCCGCATTTAACACAGAAAAAAATAACAAGCAAAATTATTTTTGATCATACATTTTACTTAACCATATTTATCCAAAATGTTATCATTCCAAAATAAGTTCAATATAAAATATTTAATTTTTTTTACATTTAATTGTTTTTTTGTAATAATTCTTCAAAATCTGGTGTGTATTTTAAACTTACAGCATTTCTCAATTCAGACAAGCCAGATTTCAAGTCCTGAATAACCATATGTGGCTACTGACTATTATGTAATCCCAGTCATAGCAAACAATCTTTCACAGAAAGTCTTCTCTGATTGATAGGATATGGAGAGAGCGAATCTGTGAACATTGCGGATAGGAGAAGAAAACTAAATCCAAATTTAAACATTTAAACTTACTGCTCAACCAAAACTGGACAGCCTTTTCCCAATACAAAATAAGCAAAGCATGTAAATATCACAGGGCGGGGCTGTCAAAACTGCCACATTTAAGAGACATCAAAGAGCACACAAAGAAAAGGACCAGGAAAGGGGAAAGTCTTACAGTGGGAGAGTATGCACAAGAAAAGGCAGAGGAAAGACGATGGCATAAGAGACGAGCTCAGCGGCATTATTCTTGAAGGTAGACTTACTGTTTTATTTCGTAATCGAATAATATCAGACACGGAACCAGCCCCACAGTACTCCATCACAATCCACAAGTCTGTGTTCTTAAAATAACTGCCGTAGTATTTGACTACATGAGAGCTAGAGAAAGACACAATACGAATTAGCGGGAAAGCATTCAAACATCTCTATTAATTCATGTTGTTAAATACCTGAAAATGTCTCTGCCAAAAGATCAAGTATTCATATTTATGATTAAAATGGACACCCTCCTGATATGAATGTAAGCTAGTATAATTTTTCTGGAGGGCAGTATGTAACAAAAGTGGGTGAAAAAATGTATGGGTCCTTTAATCCAGCATTTCTAAGTCTACAATTTATCCTAAAAAAAAAAAATTTACAGATATTCAAAAAGAAATTATTATTATCATAATATTGTTTATAAAAATGAAAATTTAGATGCCATCTAAATGTCCAATATCAGGGCCCTGGCTGGTGTGGCTCAGTGGCTTGAGCGTCATCCTGCAAACTGAAAAGTGGCTGGTCGCTGGTTCCATTCCCTGTCAGGGCACATGCCTGGGTTGTGGGCCAGGTCCCCAGTTGGGGGCGTGCCAGAGGCAACTGATGGACGTTTCTCTCACACATCGATGTTTCTCTCCCTCTCTTTCTCTTCTCCCTTCCCCTCTCTCTGAAAAAATAAATAAAACATTTAAATATCTGACATTAGGGAGTTTAGTTAAAAGATAATGATATATCCATATAATGAAATAACCATGAATCCGTGGAAAATATTACAGAATACTTGATTACACAAGAAGGTTTCCTATTCATACACACACACACACACACACACACACACACACACTGCAGCTTACTAATAGTGAAACTACAAAAAGAAATATGGAAGGGTATGTATACCAAGAAGTATTTAACAATGATTATTTCTCCAAAGGGAAAAATAATTTTATTTTCTTTTTTTTATTTTTCCAAGAAGTCACATGTACTTTGGGGGCAAAAAATCTACTACAATCTATCATAAAGAAAAAATTATGGGTTTCAAGTCTGAAGAGAGATACCAAACAAGGGATTTCAAAGAAAAGTCAGACATCTCATTAAAATGAAATAATTTGCCATCTGAGAGCTACCAGCTTTAACTGGCTAGATTATCATCAGGGCTGAACAACATTGCATAATAACTGAAGATGTTAAAATCAACTCAGCTTCATTAATTCTCAGAACTTCAAGCCCTTTCATCCTTGTGAAACATGCCAATGACAAGGGCAGCAGGATAAAACCCCACCTAAGTGACTACTAATGAAGAAATGGATGAATAAATCTCTTAAGGCACATATCCCCATCTTTGCTCTCCCTTCCCTAAATTCCTGTGGTACTTATGGCCTCTACAAGGCAATTACTGTCGGGTACTTCCTGTTGGAATATGTCCTATATATCTTGTATTTTCAGCTAGATTTTCCTGTACATTTAAATGCCTGGCCTGTCCCATCAGTCCACTCCCCAAAGATGAGAGCTCAGCCCTGTATTTCTGGATAGTCCTTGTAGTACTTAGCAGAGTAGGATCTTCAAAATATCTCTTCTTTAATTACAGACCTTTGCATACCCTGTCTGGAACACAGCTCTTGCAGTTGCTCAAAAGGGGCAAAGTCCCTTAATGGAAAAAAAAAATGTAATAAAAAATAAACTATTTTTTAAAAAGTGGCAAAGTCCCAATTTGCCAACTAGAAAAAGCTCCCATAATGTATCTTGTGGAGAAGGCAAAGCAACACTGCTAACTTACTCTTGTCAAGCCAATCAAAAATACGAGGTTTTTTAAAATCTCATATTGATTAGCCACTAAAGTATAGAGACTAAAAGAAAGGGAGGCAGGGAGAAGAGATATGACTGTATTCCCGAGTTTGTGAGACTTAAGGGCTCCTCGGCCAATCTCCACCTGCCCTAATGTTAAGGGTTTATTAAAAAAAAAAAAAAAAAAAAAAAAAAAAAAAAAAGAGTTACCAAGTTGACCTGCTACCTAAGAGCTTCAGAGGAATGAAAGCAGCCTCCAGTGCTGGACTTTCTCAGTCTCCTTTCAACTCCTAGAGCTGGCTCTGCCCCTAAGTTCATGTTTCTCTCAAGCCCAAACAGCACTGAGGAAGTCTGCCCCATTGCTGTGACCGCCCATGTTGTCACGGAATTTCACAGCAAAAACCACGTGCTTTTCTGCGGTCGCCTGCTGGCCTGACTTCCTGCTACGGCATTTGACAAATCTTAGTTCCTCAAAATTAAAATACTTAGCTACTCTTAGCTTGAATAATTTCTTAAAAATTAACATTAAATACAGAAATACTAACAGTAATACAAAAATAAGTATTCTCTTTTTACAGACCTGTCTGAATATTCTACTGTTTCTAAAGCTAAAAGCATTTGAATGATCTCTTCTTAGTTGTCGCTTTAGAAATGTTTTCTCAATAGGAAGTAAGAGACCATTATAAAAAAAAAAAAGAAGGCAACATCTTCTCCGTCTTTGCCTCTTCTTCCTAGTTTTGAAAAGGGCTTACTGAAAAAAACAAAACAAAAACCTATGCAGAAATAGAAACTATAGAAGATAAGCTACTAAAATAAACTTTTTCGTATTTTTTTCTGAGAAAAACATGCATAGGGATTCCATTAAACTTTCCCTTCTGCAAAACATCTAAGTAAATGCAACTCTAGGCATCAAACTCTATGTAAATAATCACGACAAATTCAAAACCATGTTCTCTCCAAAGCATTAACCGCATGCCTTTACCTGTCACATTGCTGCATAATAGAGATTTCTTTGATTATCTCCTGCAGATCTGACTCCACAGGAACTTGCTTAATAGCCACAATCTGACCAGTTTCTTTATGAATAGCTTTGTATACGCTGCCATAGGACCTATAATTGGGGAAAGGAGAATATTTACAAAATCAAAGCAAGCCAAGAGATAAAAGTGGTAAAACACAAGCAACTTACAGTTCTAATTTATGTGCCTAAGTGCCTAATACATGCATACTTATTTATACTTGAAAAGTTGAGATAGCTAAAGCATTTTGGGGGGAAAAATTAGCATTAAGAGAACTACCACAAAATGGCATCTTAAAAACTTGACACTTAAATTGTACTGAATGTATTAGTACAAAATAAGTATTACAGTGGCCAATCTTGCATGCCTGATGTCTGCCAGAAACTGTGCATCATCTCATTTCATCCTTACAAAAAACAACGAAGAAGGAGTCATTATCCCTATTTCACAGGTAAATTTGAAAAGGCTCAGAGAGATCACAGGACTTGACCAAGGTCACATAAGTGATAAATACGTGGTTAGCCCAGGATTCGGATCCAGTTGTGACTGAATACAAAGCCTATGCTTGCTCATATCTATCCTGGGGCATAAAAGTAGAAGCCTTTGTTTTCTTGCATTCACTCTAATACCGAGAAAGAAGTCTTTCATTCCTTGCTCCTCTTACTTGGAATGAATTTTAAAACACTAGGGAAACAAATTAAATATCTAAGCCTCTTTAAATGCTAGTATCAGGTGAACAGAGCACATACATATTTTTTGCCTTCTACTCTATTTTAAGAGTATTACCAAGTAAATAAAAAGCATGTGTCCATTCAATTTGGAGGCTAAAAGAGTATCAGATTTACAATCTAAAGACCTAGAATTTTAGTTCTACCACTACTATATTTACAGATGTAGTATTAAGCCTGTTGTACCTCAATTTTCTTATCTGTAGAATGACAACAACACAAACTACTTTACAAGACAGTTGTGATGGTCAAATGTCATACCACCATCATCTTAAATAGTTCATTGGAATCCTGATGGCTGTCAGTGAAATAATGAGTAAAATGTCTTTCATGGTTCCCAAATATACCTGTTTCTTCCTACTGTCTTAGTGAGAAAATCAAAATAACAGTGCAACCTAATATATCGAAGTAGCTGAGTGCTCTAAGCTACCAAAATGGCACTCAACCACTTCAATGTGTTTTTAAAATCTATGGAAAGCCCATAAAATAATTTCTTCTCCATCAAAATCCCTTAAATTGGCAAAACTAATATAATGATCCTTAAATGTTACATAAAACTTTTCTTTTCCCCAAGAGTAAAGCAACCACTGACCATGCGGACAAGACCATTCTTCCTTGCTAAAATAATCCTCTGATTTGTTAGGGTGGTGAACCCCTGGTCCCAGGGGATAAAACACGGTAGTCCAAGCCAGCCACAATAATTCTATTTCCATCAGCAAGCGACCTAGCTCTGGATGATAAAATTTAAGGGGAATTCTGCTGACGGGTTTCTGGGAAAGACTTTCTTCCCAGGTAAGAGAGACGCACACAAGTCCCACTTTTACTTGTCACTTCCTTTCCTGTTTTGGTTACTGTCATACAAAGCATGATGCTTGAAATTAACATGGTCATCTTGAGACTATGAGAATTACACAAATGCTAAACTATTAGCAAGCCAATTACCCATTCTGGAATCTTTCAGCCCCAGATTTATTATTATTTAGTTATTAAATACCCTTATTATTTAGCCATTCTTAGTTGGGTATTCTGTCACTTTCATCCAAAGTTATTCTTGATACACTACTTCCCATACGTGTGAAAATGTCTTTATTTCACCTTTATTGTGGAATGAGTTTTGCTGGATACAGAATTCTTCTTTGACAATAGCTTTCCCTCAGCATTTTCACTGTGGTTTTCCAGCTATCACCAGAGTCTCATTTTTCAAAGGTTATCTCTCTTTCTGCAGCTTTAAAGAGTCCCTCTTTAGCCTTAACATTCTCCAATTTTACTGTAATTGAACTAGGAGTTGATTTATTTGGCACTTCAAAAACTTCTTTCATCTGAAGGCAGGTCTTTCTTCAAGTCTGGTGAATTCTCGGCTTCATCTCTTTCCTTCCTCTATCTCTTCTAGCATATCCTTCTAGAATTCCTCTTGGACCTGTATTGGGCCTCCTCAATACATGTTGTCTTCCTGGTTTCTAACACTGTATTTCTCCATGCTACATTTTGTGATCAGTCTCATTTCTATCTTTCAATTCACAAATTCTCAAACAGCTAGTTTGCTGTTTATCCAATTTATTAGGCTTTTAGAACTTAAGTAATTGTGGTTTTCATTGTCGAGATCCTCCACTTTTAGTTATTCATGGGGCTAACTGTTCATGTTAATGATCTTGCGTTCTTTTAAGGGTGTTATTACCTCCTTTTATCTTTTTTAAAATCATAAACATGTTAAATCTCTTCCCAGATTGCTCCATTATTTCTACTTCTTTGTTACATCTGCTGATTATCTCTTGGTGGTGGATTTCCTTGCATAAATTTCCTTTTACCTTGAATGATTTTCCTCTACATAATGCTCATGGTCATGAATACTCCATGACATCATGATGGTTTCATAGTTCCCAAAGCCCAGTCACCCAGGCTTTACAATTTAAACCAGATCTTGTATTAGGAGTTCGCGGGTTTTGCCCCCTCAAGAGATCATACCTGAATGCAGCCAGGCCCAGTTCCTATTGTCAGACCAGTGCCTCCCTTTTGCCCCGGGCTGCAGGCAAATGATTTTGTACTTTCCAGTGGTGATCAGACAAATGTATTTAAGCTTTAGTTCATAGATGCAGAGCTTTGGCCCAGCCCACAACTTCATGTAGGAAGCCCACTTGCAATCTCCTGACGTGGACAGACATGCTTTGACCCCCTTCTTACTATTACAGATACCTTTTCTATCATTGATACATGGCTGGCTACACATCCTAATGTTTAAAAAATAATTTCCATTCATTCTTATATATCTGAAATAGAACAGAGAGATTCTGCAAAAGTCACTCAGCAATGAAGACCAGAACAATCTCCATGCTTCCCTATGCTATCTTGATAGCAAAGAAAACTCTGATAGCTCACAGGAGCAATTACGATTCAAGATTCTACATACTGCACTCACAGGAACCCAAAGAGGATTTAGAAGGCTTCAGCAATCATGCTCACTCACAAGCAAGTCTCTTATGACCTGATTTTCTGCAACAAAACTAAGTGGCTCAATATATTTTAACCAGCAAAGATGGTGGGGAAGTAGGTGTTTCTCATAAGCCATGCAAGGCAAGGATCAATGTAGAAAAACAGAAATATCTGAGGGCAAATTAACCAGATATAAATCTTAACATTACCACTCACTGGCTATGAAACCACAGGCACGATGTTATCATCTTATGATAAAAACCTGAATCAGTCAATGTGTAGACTGTTACATAAAATAAAAGGCAAAAGGCACTAAGCTCAAATTCAAAATACTTTCCAAGTGCTATTTTCCAGGCCATTCTGGTCTGGAGCTTTGGCTCTACTGCTCCGCAGATCCACACAATTTCCTTAAAATGCAGACTGACTGCAGCCTTTAGGATCCTATACAGTCCTTCAGCCGTAGCTCATTCCACAAGGCACAAATTAGTGAGAGTTCACAATCCATTCATTTTCCAGAACAGTTTAAGGATGGCATCACAGTTTGTGTTGAGAAAGTAAGTGCGGTTAAGATCTTCCTTCAGGATTTTGCTTGTTAAATAAGGCTTGACGAGGTTCATTCAGCCATAGTGACAGACATCCAAGTATCTGTGGTACCATTCAAAAGAACAACATAGGAAGAAAGACTTGAAGCATTACTTGTTTTCTTCCTGGTAATATTTTTCTAGGGAAATTTCCATAGATGAAGATATCCATAGATCTAAAACAAAATAAAAAATAATCATAATTAGCTTAGTTTTTCCTTACAGTATATTCCTGATACATTCTGCCTGTGGTTTTCTTTTGACATTCCCCAGACCCAATCAACCTAAACAGAGCTCCCTTCAAGAACAACTAAATATAATTAAAGACTTAAGATTTAACTTTATTTGACATGAGAAGGTCTGAAAAATGCTGCCGCTGATACAGCTAAAAATAAAGTAATAGCTGCCACTTACTGAGCACTTACCATGTGACAAGCACTGTATTAAGTAATTAATACTTGGCATAACCCTACAAGGGAGATACTAATATCCCCACTTTATAGCTGTCATAAAATGTAATCCTTGTAATCTCATGTAATACTTGACTTAACCCTATGAGGGAGATACTAATATCCTTGTTTTATAGCTGAGACTTGTAAACCTTCAAAATATTAAGCAATTTTCTCAGGCTCACTCATTTATTATGACTAATAGAGCAAGAATTTTAACACAGGTCTGCCTGACTTCAGAGTCTATACTCTTACTACTGTTAAGACACTTTTATTAAAAAATCAAAGAAACAAATCGGTTACATAGTCAGTTATCTTACCCACCCCTTATCTTATTCAAAACATAACCTGTGAGCATTATTAGATTACGGGCCTCGGACTCATTTCTCGGAGGGAAACAGCAAGGATGCCGAGCTAAAGCTGAAAGAGGCAGGCAATCGATGGAGAGGATCGCCATTCTCCTGTACCTTTAAATGCTGCCAAGTCAACAGCAGTCTTCAGATTCATCTTGAACGTGTCTTTAGTCAGCACAGATGGCGTCCCCTTTCATTTTCCTTCTCTGCTGGATTTCTCGCTTGATTTCAGAGACTATTTTTCCAACTTACAAAGAGATGATGACTAATTTTTTTACATGGAGATAATCCATGAAAAAACCTATTCCATGTCATCCAAGAGGGGGTTTAACATAAATGACACTAAACCCTAAAAGAATTCAATGACATATAAGATGTGATTTTAAAGAGCATATAGTAATTAGACAACAGACATTTAAAATCAGAACATACAGTAAAAAGACAATAGATATTTTTTAAAGTTAATAATTTCAGGTCTTCTCTTGAGCCAGTCCTCCCTAAAGACTGAACACACACACACACACACACACACACACACACACACACACACACTTATTTGCTTATATATACAAACTATTTCTGAAGGATACATAAAAAAACTGTTATACTGGTTGTGTCTGGCTGAGAGATAGAAGGGGCAGATTTTTTTCACTGTAAACACGTTTATGCTGTTTGGATCTTGAATATGAATTACCTATTCAAAAATTAACAACAATAAAAACTTAAGACAGGATATTTTAAATATCCCAGTAATAGGAGAACAAAAAAACACACAAGAAATAAAAGGATATGTAAACATACAAAAAATTATGATGCAACCTTTATGTATCATGAAAGTCGATAATGACCACTAGCGATTACTAAAATATCACTTCACTGTATATTATAAACTCACTCACAAATCTGTGTTTCAAGAAGTCCACTAGTTCCCAACCTGGGATTTTGGATCTCTTAGGAAGCTATAAAACTAGTGATAGTCCTTCATTTATTTACTATATTTCACAATGTTGTGCTAATTAAAATGCTGAATTACATTCCTTATTGAGACGAACTATTACATATCAATCAGAAGCTATGAACTACAAATAAAAAGGTCTAATAAAATATTTTAAATGAAGTATAAACTAATGAGTGTTATCAGTTAAATAGATAAAATCATGCAAATCATGGATTCTACAAGATTTAAAAAAAAAAAAAAGGAATGCCCTTAGTGTTGAAAAGAGGAATTACTAAATCCGTCTATAGCAGTGACTGGGAAAAAGAGGGAAAGCGCTGTCCAAGCTGTAAATTTACCTCCCACCCCACCTAGAGCAGTGCCAATATGCCCCATTCCCTTTTCTTCTCCTTAGGTTTGCAAAAGATTGCCGTAAGAAGGGTTCTGGTGTTGGGGGAAGAAAATGACTGCGAACTATCGGCCTACCCCTATTTTCTGTACACTCACCCTTCTCCAAGTTTCTCTAAGACATCAAACACTTCTTCTGGCTGTTTAGTTAAACTGTCTTCATCCAACTTTTTCAGCTGCCTGTGAATGAAGAAATACAAACACAAAATACATCTTACTTGGCTAGCAATTCAAACACAAAAGACATTATTTATTTGACAATGAGTGTCTTAGGAATTTCTCTATGGAATCTTCACTAGTATACAACAACAAAGGTTAACGAAGAGAATTTTAAGGGACGGAGGAGGGCTGTCCTATGGAAGTATAACATGAGTCACTCTGATGAGCACAATCAGGGCGGGATGGTGGAGAGCTACTGAGGCAAACTTCAGCCCGAGAAGTGTAAGAGTTTTTTAACAATAAAGGTACTTCTAAAGTGGTTTAGATGGCCTTAAGGAGTCCCTAGATCCCCATCACTGGAGATTTTAAGCAGAAAATAAATTGTCGTGTGGCTGAAATGCTGCTAGAATCGATTTAAGCACTAGATGTAACCTTTAAAATTCATTTAAATCTTAAGATTCCATGAATTAAAATGGAATAACTATCTCTTCAGAAAAGAGGTTTAATGTAAGGTTAACTATGAATTGAAATATGTCTTTAGACTGGAGGCCAAGGAAGACAGAGGAAAAAAACTCTTGCTCTCCATTAACAAGCTGTTGATAATTTTGTTGAAATAGAGATTCTGCAGGTATCACAGGAACACGTAATGGAAAGCATTATGCTTAGACATGAAAAATAACTAGGCAGCTGAGAGTTTCAATTCATATGACACCTCTGACTAACCGCCCAAATCAAATATATATGGTTGCTTACAACTTCCAGATAATCCAGATTTTTCTGACTATGCTAGACAATGGTAACAAACATGGGAGGTTATAAATTAACAATATTTTTTTAAAACTCTGAGACCTCTGAAAATTATTAATGGGTTTATTGAAGGAGCTTGCTAAGGAATACTTGTGTGTGTGTGTATCTTCTACACAGTGACTTCCTGAAACTACAAAGGACAACAAAGAAAAGAAAGCTCAGGAAATGGTGAAATATGGAAGTAGTCACACTGGAGATTTCTTTGTAAAGAAAAAGGTTTAAACTAGCTGAACAATACCAATTTTTACAGGAAAAAAAACCCCTTAAATTTTAAAAATACACGCACACATAAATATGTAACTTCCCAGAGAAAATAATAAAACCAGAAAACGAAAACAAAAATAAAACTCTAAACATGTCGAGTGTATTTACCAGCAAACACTGATCTCAAAAGGACAGCTTTATAGAATTTTCTAAGTATCAAAGACTACGTACTAGAGAAATGCAGTCTTGCTCCAAGTCAATAATTACCATAACTTGAAAATTAACGTAACAAAATAGGCATGTTGACCTTTGAAAAAAATCAAAAGGTCCTAAATATTAAATTCCACTGACATCATTAAAAACTCCCAGCTTCCCAACATAAAGGGCTGAAGTGAAACTCCTCTTAAAACTTCAGCAGTGACATTTCTATGAACTCAGAAGTTAGAATGACATCTCATAAATCAGGGGGTTTCTGGAAGCACTGAATATATACCTACATAAACAACAGACAATACCTCATTCCTCAAGTATAATTAAAGTTTTATAAACAGCTTATATAAAGGAAGATCGAATGTGTTCTTTTGAAGTGTTCACTCTGTGGTTTGCAGAAAGCAAACCTCCCGATTCCGGCTGCCCAGGGAGGATGGCAGCGCAGCAGAGGAAACCGCTGCTGCCCAGAGAGAGACAGCTGCGAGCCTCTGATAGTACTTTGACACGTCAAACTTGATGTGACTACTCAGATACTTTTTAAAAACAATCTAAGCGCTCTTTTGTTTGTTTGAGGCTGGTCTTAAGAGATCTTTATATCACCAGTGCCTGATAACCCAGAGGTGGTCAATAAATACTTGCTAAATCGATTAACAAATACAATGAGGGGAATCATAAACTTTTATCAGCAGTCTTTGGGAGTTCCCAATATAAAACAGAATTTCATCCTAAGAAGTACCAGGGGATTATCAACAAACAGGATTTCTATGGAAACTGTTTTGATAAGTGACTTAGTGATATTTTATACCATGACTCTTCCTGGAAGCAGTACCATCACAACAGCCCAACGCTGATGATTCAGCTCTCTCGGCTAGGACTTCCCCAGGTCCTAGGTAGTTTCACGGCTTGCTCATAAGTGAACAGGCCTGGCCGACACATCCTGCACGGACCAAATACCAACGGATACTTTTCTCTTAGGTCAGACGGCCACGTGGATGGCTAGCATCCCAGAAATGCACTCTACACCTTCCGCCACACTATTATCTAATGGCAACTCACTTTAAAAATCAACCTCCTACATGATCATCAACTTTAATCTATCATCACTCATTTAGTCACACACAAATGTCAAACTCATGAACACAAAGAGTATTTCCTGCATTGGGACTCCTATCCCTTGCTGGAAACACATGCTGTCTGGATCTCTGAAAAGATACATGTACCTTTCCAAGCACAAATTGGGGTGGTTATCAAATAGTTACTCACAGGTTTGGCTAAATCTCAAACTTCTTTCTCCCATCTTATAACTCTAGTAAGGTTCATTTTATTTATGTAAATGCATCCCTCTTTCCACACAGGATTTGATATAGGTGGGTTACAACAAAAAACACAAGATAAATTGATGAAGTTTTTTTTTAATGATAATAAAATCGGTGTGTTCCCACCCCCTCAATTCATATGTTGAAGTAACCCTGAAAGTGACTATTTGGAGGCAGGGCCTTTAAAGAGTTAATTAAGGGAAAATTAGGTCATATGGGGTGGGTCCTAATACAACAGGACTGGTGTCTTTAAGAAGGGAGATGAGGACACAAGACAGGTACAAAGCGAAGGTGGCATGAAGACATAAAAAGGGGATAGCCATCTACAAGCCAGGGAGACAGGCCTCAAAAGACTTGCAGACACCTTGATCTCAGGCTTCCAGCCTCCAGAACTGTGAGAAAATAAATTTCTATGATCTAAGTGACTCAGTCGGCAAAACTGCACTGCAGTCCTAACAACCAGTACAAATGATAATAAATTAATCTGCTTCAAACTAAGCAGTTCACTAGTTATGAGAGCAAGAAAGCACCCGTCGTTCAAAAATTCGGCCCTGCAACGCTCTTCTCTTGCACATTTAACACATTTTTAAAATCCAAAAGGCATAGGAATGAGTGTCAGGAAAAAAAAAATTTTACTCTTTTGCCTAAGATTAGACAAGGCAAAGGCAGAAACAAAACTCAGACACCTAATCCTCTTTTAAATTAAAGCAAAGCCTCAGAGAAAGAATGAACGTTTCAGGAAGATATAATCAGTGTACATTTATAACTGGATCACCATGGCGCTTTAGAAAATCTTGTTGACATATACAAGGCCCTGGGAAATAGGGGTACTTCCAGACACACATCAGAAAGAGCCTGTTAAGAGCATGGACTTTGGACCATGCTGCCTGATTAAAATCCCAGCTCTGCCACTTACTAACTGTGGGATCTCCAGCAAATCACTAACCTCTCTGTGCCTCAGTTTTATCACCTGTAAAATAGTGATACAGAAATAACCACCTCCTCATAGGACTGTTGTGAGGACCAAATGAGTCAGTAAGAGGTTGAATCACATGACATTACCATTTTTATAGGTCAAAAATGGTCAAATGTCAGCAATTTCATATGGTTCGACAGGAGACACGGAATGCACTGAGCACAGTGTCTGGCATACAGTAAGTGCTGTATGAGGGTAAAAATGATTATTATTTCGGTCTCAGCGCACCACAGTGGGATGTCCAATGCAACCAGCTATTTGCTTTCTGCAGTGTTTGTGCACTTCAAACCCCAAGTGTGCAGCCCAGGCTGCCAATCCCTTCCCTTCATCTCTTTATTGCCCTGCACTCCCACACACGGAACACTTCCTACTTTAGTGCTCATTCTGCTGCAGGAAGTCAGAGGTCTCCATGAAACAGAAGCTAACTACTTTGCACCTTGGAGAAGCATGATTCCCTCAAATCACTACTGTCTCCTTTTCTCCAAACGCAGCCGAGTGACAGAAGACCCTGGTGTCCCCAACAGAGCAAAACAACAATACAACTGCAACCAACCCAGAGGTTCAGACTTTCTAGGCTCAGCTATCTTCCTGATCTTGACTTAAAACAATTCCAGGTAGCCTAGGATCTGGGGCTGTTACTCACAAAACAATAGAGGCCTGAAAAGGGCAGAGACCTGGACCTAGAGCAAAGAAGGAAACTCCCAGGACTGCGTCTCAACTCTTCTAGGCCTCAATTTGCCCATCTTGAACACATTCTCTTATTTCCTTATCTACCTCCCAACAGAGTTTTTAAGAGTTGTGGAGGATGGGAGGAAAGTAAGTATACCAGGTATCAGGAATGAAAGATGCCATTATCATTTTAGAGTGAGGACACTATGAAGACCATCTTCTTAAATGCTATCCTCCAAGAAACCCTCTCTGGCTAGATCTTTACCCTTTCTTGGTACACCTTCAGCCTTAGGAGCAAAGCTTTCCCCCTCATCAGATCCTCCCCCCACAGCACCCCTCAGGTGGGGCTCCCTCCCTTACAAAGCCCACTCAGCCTTCCTCTCTGCTTGTCCGGATCCATCCTTTAGACCTCTCATACGGTCTCATGTTACTTCCGTATTGCCCCCTATCTCAGTGAGTCCCTTCTACCAGAGCCTTCCCCCTGGACCCACCGCGCCCTCAGCAGGTGCTCTCCCTAACTTGTCCCCGCGTTCCTCAGCAGCTACTGACTTTAGCGGTGCCCTCCTACGCCCTAGAATGTCCCCCACAGTAAGTACTCTACCCAAAAAGCCTCACGTTTATCCCCTTCATCGCGTGCACCTCTCTGCCGGACCCCCACACGCCAGAGGTCCCCCATTCAGCAGGTGCCCTATCAGCCGGGTCGCCACGCCCCGCAGGTCCCTTCTCTCCCGGGGCTTGCACACGGATGTCTCTCCTCCGCCAGTTCCCGCCTTTCCTTCCCCGATCCCCTTCCTCTTAGCCAGTGGCCCCTCACCGGCGCGGCGGATTCCTCAGCTGCACCGTCTCCATGGCGCTGCCGGCAGCGGCCCAGACCCGCTCACTGCTTCATCCTCCCCCGGGACCTCCCACAGACCGCCCCGAAGACCCTCCCACACTTCCGCTTTCCGCCCATACCGGAAGCTGAGCGAGCGCCGGGGCCCTGGGCGGGGCCGTGCGGACGCGGCCTCGGGTCACGTGGTGGGCCGGGGCGTGGACCCTGAACTGTGGAGGCAGGGAGGTTTCCAGGCAGTGTCTTCTGCCAGGCTCCAGCCGTCATCGGGCGTTGTCTCTTTGCGACGCTGTCTGCCGGAGGCAGTGGGTCACCAGGCCCGGAATCCAGCTCTGCTTTGGCCCCGGCCCCTCATTTCTTAGATGCTGAGGCTTCGTGCGAAGCGCCGGCTTGATAAGAGCTGTGGATTCTTAACAAGCCAAGTTGTACGCGATTCCTGGGAAGCGCTGCGGCTCCAGGGACTCCTGGAGGTATTGGTGGTTTTCTAGCTTTCTTACCCGGTAGAATTCTTCTTCCAGATGGAGGCCGGACCCTGCATACTCTGTCTTTGGATGTCATAGAGCATCAGTCCGCAAATTGCTCCACGCTCGCTCTTAATTGCCTCACCTTTGAGTCACTTCGCAGACATAAAAATAGCTAACGTTTATTAAGCTCTTGCCATATATTGCTTTCATATAGTATCTCATTTAATCATATCAAGCCTGTAACGTTATTCCCAATTTTATGTATTACCTGCCACAGTCTTACTACGCCCTCAGTGCTTTACTAATATTAACTCATTTAATATTCCTATCAACTCCATAAGGTAAGTACACTTATTATTCTCATAAGGTCGCAGAGGTGAAGATCGCAGAGCTAATAGTATAGGTTTAGGGATTTAAAGTCAGGTTAGTCTGATTCTAGAGCGTGTACCACCAAACTGGATAGCCACTGATGTGTACCCTCTGATTGGACTTGAGAGAGAGCTTCCTTTCCTCAGAGCTCTAGTTTCAGCTGTTGCCATTGGTAAATCCTCAGTTGCCAACACCATCGCTGAGTGTTAGGAAAAAGGCAGATGCCATCCAATTTACCATGGAGACAGTTCAGGAGACAACTTACCCAGAGCAATCTTTCACTTTTTAATTGTCCTGCTCTCCCCAAAGGTATGCCATCTACAAAACCTAACACCTGAGCAACCACCTTTGAGGGCCACCCAGGTATGTGGCACCCTATATTCTAAAAATGGGATAATGGAGCCATTACTCTTCCACAGGAAGAAAATATTTACTGAGGATCTACGATGTACCAGTTACAGTGCTAGATTGTCACTTAATCTTTAAAACAACACTGTGAAGTAAGAATTATTATCTACAGTTTACAGGTAAGGAAGCTAAGACGCATACATGCACAGCTAGTGAGAGCAAAGATTTTAACCCAAGATTCTCCTAACTCCACAAAAATCCATGTTTTATTTGCCACTTTGCTCTATTAGAAATCTGTACAAATGGCAGTGGGAGCCCTGAGGAAGTAAAGATCAAGGAGAGTTTCTGCGAAGTTCAGGAAGCCATCACAGGTCCGTCCTGCAAGAAGTCAATTTTCTGTCCTCTGAAATCCCGAGCAGGTTTCCTTTTCGACCCTACCTTTTACCTTATGTTCAGGCCTTGCTGCCCAGTAAATTCCCTCCTCGAAGGATCTAACCTCCCATTGTGCCCCCAAACTCATCCCTGTAGATGAGTAGGTACTCAATAAATATTTTAAAAGATAAGTGTTAGTTTATCAGTTCACAATGTCAAACATCCCTTCTTTGTCCCCTTCCCAGGATTTTTCCAAAAGATAGACATTAGCTTTGGAAGGTACAAAATGTCTTTTCCACTGTGGAAGAAGCCCCAAAGGCCCTCCCAGTTTCAAGGAGAGCAGACACATATTCTATCTCTCGATGGGGGAGTGGGAATATTGTTGTGGCCATTTTTGGAAAATGCAGTTTGCCACAAGTGTACTTGTGTGGTATACCACTTAGAATGTATTCAGTTGCAAGCAACTGGAAAAAAAGAAATCCCAAACATGTAAGTGGTGACTTAAAGCACCATGACACTTGGTGTTTATTAGTTCAAGGTTGGCTCAGCGGCTTAACAATGTCAATTTCATCCTCTTTCCTACTCAGCCTGTTGGTTTTTCATATTTGTGTACTTATTGTTTATAAAATGTCTACCACACCTCCAGGTATCATGTCCTGAACCCAACACTACCCAAAGCAGAGAAAGAGCAAAAGAAGCTATTTTGAAGTCTCTCGTTACAGGAAGAAAACTTTCCCATGTACACCCAGCAGACATCCTTTTACCTCTTTGGTCAGATCAGATCACATCTCACCCCTTGACCAAGCACTGGCAAAAGAGAAGAAGATTATTATTGTTGTTAGGTGTTAACCCAGGGAATACACCTGTTAAGAGGGGCTCCTGGTGGCTAACTGGGCTCAAATTTATAAACAGAGCCTAGCAGCTGGTGCTACACGGGGGTCTCTCACTCGTGCCATACTTCACAGAAAAGCCACATTGAACTGCCTGCAGATTGCACTGTGTTCCTGCTAGCAGAGCTGATCCTTATAAAAGAGTTCCTGGGATTAAATTCTACCAATAGGACTGAGATTTTTCCATTGCCAATGGAATTGCACATCTATATCCTTATTTGCATCTTCATCGACCAGTAAGGGTGGCTCCATTGTGACCAGTTAAGATGGTGCTATTTGGACCATTCATACTGTGAGGATTTGAAGTCCTTATTTGCATAGAAATGGGCCAATCAGTAGCAGGGGGTGGGCACTCTTCTTTATATAAGTCCAGCTACCTGGACCCGCTCTGGGGACTCACTTTCTGTTTTCCATTGAGGGCAACATTTCTTTGTCTGAAACCATAACACCAAAGCCACTTCATGCCTAGCCCTCTTCACCACTAAACTGTTCCACAATTGAGCTGTTTGTACTGAACAAAGTCTCCCCTTTACCAGGTCCCAAATTGGTGTTAAATTGGCATGATAGCCTTTGATTGACAGTTTAGAGAAATCTTGGATCATTTCCTGGGCCAGGAGAATCTCAGGCAAAATTTAGACTCTGAGAGGAAAGATGTATGCTGTCAAGTAGATAGCCAATGGGAGGTGTGTCACATCTGGCTCTCCTGCCACATTAAATGTTCATTCTTTCTTCTTCTATGGGGCCTGAGCTGGGCTGATAGGATTCAGGTGGAACAGTCGCCCAACCCTCAGCAAGTTCATAGTCTGGTGGGTTAAGAGTTAAAACAAATAATTTTAACTAGAGTCCTGAAGACAGACCAGGCCTTTGTCAACAAACTTCCTAAGTGCATGTTGGGTGCCAGGTTCTATTAGGTCTTGGGCAGACATAGATAAAGACCTACTTCCTGCCTTTAAAGGCCTCAAAGTCTGAGAAAAACTGTAAACTGACAATCACGGAGTGTTAAGTGCTAAATTAGGGTATCCCAGGAGCAATAGAAGGAGAGGAGGGAGGAGTATTCATAGGAGTTTTCATAAGTGGTATTTGAGTTGATTATAGGTTGTCAGGAGAAGGCAAGAGAAAAAGTATTTGGGAAAAAACTCCAGGCGAGGGGAGAATAAGCAAAGGTTAGGAAGCAAGAGAAACAGCATAATGTATGCAGGTAGCAAAAAGCAGTTTTTAAAAATGGGGTATTGAGTGGAACATAAAGTCAGATGAAGCTAAAGATAAGCTGGTTTCCTTCAGCGAAAGATCTTAGTCAACTTGTCAGTGCATTCAGTTATATATATATAATGTCTATAAAGCACAAGGTGCTAGTTTATAGTTTATAGCCTCAGTGCCTTTACTCTGTATTTTGTAAGATTTCATTTACTTTCAGAGAGAGGGGAAGGGAGGGAGAAAGAGCGGGAGAGAAACATCCATTGGTTGCCTCTCCTATGGGCCCCAGCTAGGGACCAAACCTGCCACGCAGTCACGTGCCCTGACCTTGGCATCCAGCCAGCAACCTCTCGCTTTGCAGAGCGATGTCCAACCCATTGAGCCACACCCCTCAGGGCAGTGCCTTTGCTCTTGCTATGACTCTGCCTGAATTTTCTCAGGTCTCAGCTCAATTACTAGTCCCTCAAAGACGCCTTCCCCAACCCCCTTGTCTAAAATAGTTTACGCGTGGTCCCTTTCTAGAGCATTAAGGTTTTGTTTTTCTTATAGCACTAATAACACGAGAGTATCCTCTTCATGTGCTCATGTGTTCATTGCCTGTCAGCTCCCACTAAATGTGAGCGCCACCAGAGGTGGGAGCTTGCCTCTTTCCCTGTTTCATCCATAACGTTCTAGCAACCTAGGCGGGGGGCGGCGCGGCTCCAGAGAACGCGCGCTTGGCGACGTAAGCACCAAACCGAGCATGCGCCGTGCGGAGAGGGCCAGGCACTAGGACCCCCGATCCACGCAGGCCCCACCCCCGCCCCGCGGCGTCCCTCCCCCTCTCGGCCAGCGTAGCAGTCGGGCCCAGTACATTCCGCCTGGGCTTTTCCCCCCTCCCTGGATTCCGCTGCGCAAGGCTTGGCGGCGGGAACGGAGGCGGCCGCCATTTGCTAGCCAGACCCCAGGATGGCCCCCAAACTCCCAGACTCTGTGGAGGGGCTCCGCGCCGCCGGCAACCTGAGCTTCCGCAACGGCCAGTTCGCCGAGGCCGCCACGCTCTACAGCCTCGCGCTGCGGTTGATGCTGGAGCGAGGTACCACCCTGCCCCCACCTTTTCCACCGCTAGGACTGTTTCTCTCCCCCATCTCCCCCACCCCAACTACCCAGACCTCGCTCTATTCCTGTCTTCTTGGGGCCCCCTTGCCCTGCGGGCCGACTGGTCCCGCAGACGCTCCCACCACCCTTCCGGCCCATTCCCTGCTGTGGGCATCCTACCAGAAACTTCCATGCCCCTTTCTTTCCGCCTTAAAAAGAAAAAAAGCAGTATGGTTTTATTACTGGTTCTTTTTCACTTAATATCATGTAAGAAACATAATTCCATGTTAATAGATGTTTTATCACTGGTTGTGGTAAAAAAAAAACATTAAATTTACCATCTTAACCATTATTAAGTGTAGAGTAGCATCAGGTATATGCTATTCACATTGTTGTGCAGCAGATCTCTGGAACTTTCTCTTCTTGCAACACTGAAACTCAATACCCATTAAACACTAATTCTCCCCTCTCTTTAGCCCTTGGTATCCACTTTTCTACCTTCTGTATCTATGATTTTTGATTACTTTAGATATTTAAGATGAGTGAAAGCATAGAGTATTTGTCTTTTGTGACTGGCTTCTTTCCCTTAGCAAAATGTCTTCGACAACATTATAATCCGTGTTGTAGCAGGTGACAGGATTTCCTTGTTTTAAAGGCTCCATCATTTTTTTGTGCGGATATACCATTGTTTTTCATCCATTTACCCATTGATGGACATTTGGACTGCATCCACCTCTTAGCTAATGCTGTGCTGATACGGGTGTGCAGATATCTCCAAGATCCTGCTTTGAATTCTTCTAGATAGATATCAAGAAGTAGGATTGCTGGATCATATAGTAGTTCAATTTTTAACTTTAGGGGAACCTCCATACTGTTTTCCATAGTTGCACCATTTTTCATGCCCACCAACAATGCACAGTGGTTCCATCTTCTCAGCATCCTCACCAGCACTTACAGGTATTTTCTGTTCCTTTGACAGTGGCCATCCAATTAGGTACGAGCTGCCTGCTTTTTAACTGTGCTTGTTGGCCCCCATCCTGTTATTCAGACCTCATTCTGATCCCTGAGGATATAGATGGCTCAGCCATGTATATAGTGAGTGTATAAAGTTCCCTTTTCTCAATGGTTATACATACATTGTTGTTTCCAAAGGAGGGAATGGATCTTAAGCTAGTAAACAAGACCTGCCTGGTAATAATTAGGGGCATGTGGAAGCCAAATACGATGATGTGATAGAGAGTTGACTAGGGAACTCCATTAGAATGGGGAGGTCAAGGACAACTTCTTTGCAGAGGTGACATTTGAGGGGGTGTCTGAATGATGAGAAGAAGCCAGATGCACAAAGTTGTGGGTGCGGAGCATTTCAGGTGGAGGGAACTGTAATTACAGACATAAGTCATCTTATTGTGCTTCTCTGTATTGCGCCTCACAGATGTTGTGTTTTTTAGAAATGGAAGACAAGATCCTTCCCCAGCAAAAAGATTACTACTTGCTTTATTCAGGGCTCTGGGACTGAACCCACAATATCTCTGAGGTCTGCCTATACAAAGGTGCCCAGATCGAATAGCCTGGTGTGTTCCAGAAGCCAAAGCATATTGAGCCAGTGGAGGGAGAAGCAACACGAGGTCAGTTAGATAGGCAGAACCTTATTGTGTCGACGTTTTACAGAACAGGCCATAGGAAGGAGTTTGGGTTCTTTTCCCTGATGGGAAGCTCCTGGAGAGTTTCAGACAGGAGTAGTGTGTCAGTTCTCCCAGCCTCTAGCTCATTTCAGCCAAGCACAGCCCTTCGCCCAAAATCTCTTCTCCAAAGTCTCTTACCAAGGGGCCCTCATTGGAACCCCTTTTTTTGTAGTACGATTTCCCTTTACCTTCCTTCTCTTTCTCATTTTTTTTTTTTGACTAGCATTTGTAAAGAGCTTTACTGTGTGCTAGACATTATAGACATTACCCCTTTATGTCTTCATACTAACTGATGACTAAATTGCTTATCCCAGGGTTACACAATGAAGACATGTCACAGGCAGGTTTTGAATATGGGTCTGTCTCATTCCCAAGTCCAAGTTTTTAGTAATTTTGCTAGACTTCTCTCCAAATCATCTCCAAGTTGCAGTCTTTTTTTGTTGAAGTTGTGCAGTGCCACGTCATCTTATCCCCTTCTTTTTTTCTAAAACACTCCTTCTTAGGTTCACCTGTTCACCTCAGCCTCACTGGAAGTTGCTGAAGAACCTAAGGTGTTGATCCTTCTGCCCTTTTCTTTCATCCTGCCCCAGCCTGCCTAGAAAAGTGTGTGCTTTTGTATGGATTTATTCTGGAGCCCTAGAAGAGCTGGCCTGGTTTCTAGAAGATTCAATAGGGGACCAGAGTTTGGTTCTCGTCTTTGTCTAAATAATACACAGGCAAATCCCCTGATTTCTCTGATAAGTTTTCCTTTGAAAGGAGAGCAGGGAGCAGCCTAACACACTGCACCCTTCCAGCAAGTCTGTGAAGCGATATGTACATGTGATAGGTGAGCACACATGACCGGAGGGATTGAGTGACTTGTGTAGCACCACAGGCCAGAGTGTAGGTTCTGATGCCGTTTCACCTTAGCACTGCTGCTTCTGAGCGCCTGTGGTCTGGGGACTTGAGATGGATTGCAGGTTTTGAGTGAGTGTACTTGTTCCTTAAGGGCAAGGATGTATTTTACCTATCTCTGTACATTGCTGTCTCCTTCAGGGCCTGGCAAAATAAGAAAAAAAGTTACATTTTGTTGTTTGTTATGGTTGGTATTGAGTGAAAGATATGCATCAGCGTGGTAATGTGATACTTAGTGAAAAAAGCAAGTTGCAGAAGGTTAGACAATGGAGTACCACTTAGAAAAAGCTTTATGAAGGGTAGACAATAGAGTACCAGTTAGGAAAAAGCTCTAGAAGATACAAAATGACATCTTATCTGTGGTTACATATATAATAAAGATAGACAAATATGCATGAGAACGTTACCTACCAACTTCAGGATTGTGCTGACATCTGGGGACAGAGCAAAGGGGAAGGGATGGGGATGAAAAGGTTGGAAGCAAATAGGATATATGCTAAGTCTAGTGATTGATACTGAATGTCTATTATACCATTGCCTGTGTGTTTCACAATTTTCAAAAGAGAACTTGTTTTCAGTTATTTTGGGTTTATCCCTAGGAGGGCAATTACTAGGTCAACACATTGTATTTTTTCTTTTCTTTTCTTTTCTTTCTTTTTTTTTTTTAATTATGGCCCATGCTACTGAGTATGCAGTAGTTGAAAAATTATTTTTAAAAAGAAAATTGTAGCCTTGGCCAGTGTGGCTAATTTAGTTGGAGCATCATCCCATAACCAAAGGGTTGCAGGTTCAATTCCTGGTCCAAGTAGATACAGGTTCGATTCCTGGTCCAGGTACATACAGGAGGCAACTGATTGATGCTTATCTCTCACATCGATGTTTCTTTCCCTATCTAAAAACAATGAAAAAATGTCCTCTGGTGAAGATTAAAAAAAAAAAGAATGAAAATCATTGAGGCCACAATAAAGGACATGAGCTCCTGAGGTTCCTGAAGGTGAGGACAGCCTTTGGAGAAATGTTTGATAATTCTCCCCATTGGGGAGCCTGAGGCCTTCCCCTGAGTAAGTTCTCTGTAGTCCTGCCAGACCCAGGGGATTTTTCCCTGGCAAAGCCCTGTCTGATTTGACCTGGTAGAATTAGTCTCTTTTATCTTTTCCTCTTTTTTTTATTTGGTGTACATGGTTTTTCTAATAAAATTAACATCCCTCCCCCCAAGTGGTTACAGCCTGGATTTCTTTGAGGTAGAAGCCAGCTATTTCAAGTTTATCTTTTGCCTGGTACCAAGTTTAGTGCTGCCATGAGTATTCTCTCTCCCATGTACTAATGGCAAATGCCAGCCTATCAGACCAGGAAGCCTGGTCAAGTCATAGTCATCCAAGTGGGGAAGGGCTGAGGGTGGCAGGTGGGGATGGGTGGGGCAGGGGAAAGCGGTGGTGGGAAAATGGAGACAAATATGTTTAAAAAATAAAAAATAAAATGAAATACCTAGGAATAAACAAACCAGGAGGCCCAAAATTTATACACTGAAAACCACAAAACATTGCTGAAAGAAATTAAAGAAGATACAAATCAGTGGAAAGACATTCTGTGTTCATGAATTAAAAGTTAATATTGTTAAGATGTCAGTGTTAACCAGAGTGATCCATAACAGTCAGGTCATCTATCACGAGAACACATGTAGAACAAGCCTATATTTTTCTGATCATTAGCATTATTCTTCATTAATTTAAATAAAAAGTTACAGTCATCTCTCTTCCCTTTCACAAAGCCCAGAGGGTTCAGAGTGTGAAATGCATTTCATGTGCCCAGGCACCCATTTCCCAACTTGTTAACCTCACGCTTTCTGCTTCCACCTGGGCAGGTGCTTCGGACCCTAAAGAAGAAAGCGTTCTCTACTCCAACCGAGCGGCATGCCACTTGAAGGATGGGAACTGCAGGGACTGCATCAAAGACTGCACCGCGTAAGTGGTCACGGGGAACTTCCTGCTGCCTGCGGGGCTCAGAAGAGGAAGCTGGGTTTACCTGGCCTCCATCTCCTTTGGATGATCCCACCAGTTACACCTGTGACAGATACTAGGCAGTGTCACTGTCAACAGATCACTGAGAATAGAAGGCTTTACTTGGCCTTTGTGGTCCCTGTCTTGTGCCTTTGGAGTCTTAGCTCTACTGCTGTAAAAGGAGGGCGGTGGGCACTTCCAGTGGGCCTTAAAGTCTTTGTGAGATTTGGGACCTGGAGATGAGGTAGAGTTGTAGACCAGTGAATGGCTTGCCCAGGTTTTTTCTGGGGTGGATGTGTGTGAGGAAGGGAGGGAGAGAAAGAAAGAGATTAATAGCTAGGAAAGAAGCAAGGAGAAGGGAGAAAGCGGTGTGCATCAGTGACCAGGTGTAGAGGACATTAAACAATTTTTCATACTCTCTTCTTCAAGCAAGCCTGATACTGCCTTCTTTCATCATCACCAGACTATCCTGCATACCTGAGATATTCTTAGATTTGATATCTTATGGCATCGCCTTAGATTCATGCCCTGGTGATAGATGGGAAAGAAGTGAACATGCTCATGGAGTCTGAACTGTTGATTAGTACCAGGTCCAGTGCTAGATTTCCTTATTGGAGTGTTCATGGCCACTCTGTGGGCTAAGTTTACCATCCTTCCCAAGATAGAACTGGGTTGCAGAGGACTGAGGTGGTAAAGTGATTTGCCTGGGATCACATGGTAAGTGTAAGAGGTGGAATTCAAACACCACTCCATCTGTGTCCAAAGCCTCCATGGTACTCCCGCTGGGCCTCAGCTCTGGAGACATACAGAAACATAAAAGCTGCAAAGCACTTGTTAATTTTGGGAGGATTGCAACTATGAAAATTGATGCACGTGTGCACAAGTTTTACAGTGTTAGTAGCTCTCTGCCCTCTTTCCCTTCTCTACTTCAGTCTAAGTTGAGAAATCTCTCTTCTGAGGTTTGACATTGTTAGTAGTGTCTCTGCCAGAAATTACTGCTGCGCGCCCCCCCCCCCCCCCGCCACACACTGAATGCCATAGGTGAGCCTGCTGGGCTGGAGCTGTGGGGATGGGGTCGGGGGGAGCCCTGGTGACTTAGCAGCCAGATGACATTTCTGCTTCCTGCTCTAGAGCACTGGCCTTAGTTCCCTTCAGCATAAAGCCGTTGCTCCGGCGGGCATCGGCCTACGAGGCCCTGGAGAAGTATTCCCTGGCCTATGTCGACTACAAGACCGTGCTGCAGATTGATGACAGTGTGCAGTCAGCCTTGGAAGGTGTCAACAGGTGAGCCTGAGTCACTGCGGTCATTTCCTCTGGATCTCCCTCCATTCCGTCATTGGCTTGGAATTGTCACTTTGATCATCTTCTCGCAGGATCCCTTTGGGATCAGCTTAGACATGCCTAATGACCTTGCAGGGAAAGTGTGGAAGGACGGTTTGCCATCATATTTGGTAGGCGTTTAAGGGGTCAGGATTACTGAGGTGTTTGGTTTTGTTTTGTTTGTTTTTTGTGTAGGTGCTCACACTCATTCACGCAGTGGTAATTTGTTGAGCCCTGTTTAAGGTGTTGTGCCAGGTTCAGTGGGAATACCCCAGCAAAAAAGAGACACAGATCTCACTTGCCTCAAAGAGCTAACAAGTGGGGGAGGTAAAACTCAAGCACAGTGCAGTTCGCACACGAGGCCAAGGGGATATCGTTTGTGGATATGGTTCAATATCTTGTATCACGACCCCTTCACAAGGCCCCTCAGCAGCTGCCGCCTCAGATGGCCTCTGCTGTGTGACTGATCACGCTGCCCTTCTGTCACAGGCTGCTGGAAAGCCAGATGCCGCACTAATACAAACCTTCGCTAGCTTGTGGTTTGTGTTTGTGTGTCATTTCTGGCTTGACTTGTTTTTCTCTGCCTCCTTTTCTTTTCTGTCATTCAACAAATCTGCCACCTATGTGCCAGACTTTGCACTAGGACCTGAGCCGATGCCTGAGTCATACCTTCCTGCTCCAGTAAAGCCCCTGTTGTCATGGAGAGCGCCGGGCAGCAGTAGGCAAGCACACTGCAAGGGATGAGGCAGCACAGGGGCCAGCGGGAGCGGAAAGGAGGCACCTAGCCAGCAAGGGAGAGGCCAGAGAGGTTTTCCAGAGGTGGGGAGCTGAGACAGAGGTGAGTAGAGATCTGGGGCCAAAGGCCAGCGAGGAGCAGGGGCAGCCTGAGCAAGAGCTAGTGAGTGTGATGTGCTGCAGAAACTGAGACGTCCATTTCCCATGGTGCTGCACTGCAGGCGAGGAGCTCAGCTCACGCGGTGAGGCCAGACCACACAGGGCCTGGTGTTCAGGGGCTTGGACTTAGTCGGAGCACAGTGAGGCATCATGAAAGGGCCTTAAGCAGGGGAACAGCGTGAGCAGATTTGAGAGAAGCCACGAGCACTGGCTGCCACGCAGAAGGGTGACATGGAAGAATGGACTGGGAAGGGGCGTGCAGTAACCCAGAAGAGGTGAAGGAGGCAGTGGGTGGAGAGCAGCGGGACTGTCCAGGGGGTGTTTAGATAGTATTTCAGCAGGTTTTGATGGTTGGGGGCGGTGAGATGGGAAGAATAGAAGAGACATCCAGGGGGTCGACATGTTGAGTTGGAGATGATTGTGGGACATGAGACTAGAGGGATAGGGAAGGCTCTGGGTGTTTCTGTGGGTTCAGAGCAAAGGAGAGAAATGCAGGCCAGACATGCAGATCTGAGGGGTATCAGCACAGAGCGGGGTCGGGGTGGTAGGAGAAAAGGGCACCCCCAGCAGGTGTGTAGGGGAAGAAGGTGGAGGCTGGAGAAATTCCGGTGCGTTTGGGACTTGCAGAGGAGCAGCAGCTGGAGCTGTTGGAGGAAACCTGAGGCGTTTAGTGTCACGAGGGAAGGAGTGTTTCCAGAAGGATGGAGCATGTCAGCTGTTCCAGTGAGCTTAAGTAGACAAGGGTTCCGGTATGACGTCACTGGTGGTTCCGATAGAAGCGGTTTAACGCGTCAGAGGCCGGGCGGCAGTGGGATCCAGAAGCCTGCCTATGAGAGGCAGAGGAGTGTGGCTGCGATGGCAGAGGTGGCCGGGAGGATGTAATTGAGTGAGGAAGGGTTAAATGCCAATAATTGTGGAGCCCGCAGAGAGAAATGATGAAGATGCTGTAGGAGAGGGAGGGAGATGCTGGCTGGGGGTGGTCCTTGAGAGAGGCAGGAGGAGATGGGGTCCAGAGCGTAGGTGAAGGGATTGGCCTCGTCGGCTCTCGTTTTGTGACAAGAAATAGGAAGGGTTGGGTGCCCCATGCAGGTACGTTTGTATTTGGAGAGAGGAGGGTTGGGAGCAGAGGCGGGGAGGTCGGAGGTTAGAAATAGCTGGGCCAATCAGAAGAACAGACTTGGGGCCTTAGTCAGAGAACATGAATTTGTAGTGATATCATTGTGTTTTCATTCTGGTATCATAGGGACGTGGTTGCAAAAGCTGAAAAAGCATACAGTTGGCTTTATTTAACTCATTCAACACATACATACTGGATTTTGGTGGGTGCCAGGTACTGATGTGCCAGGTGATGGAGGTCAGTTGACAGTCAGACATGGTTTTGAGCAAGTTAGCTGGGCTTAGAAGGCAGGAAGGGGAACTGGGAAGGGGAAGAGATTTTTCCCGGGGGAGGACAACAGAGCGCAAAGACTTGAATGGAAGTATCAGGAGGGAACCTGGCCCCTGATCAAGGTGGACGGGTGGGAGGGACCACGTCTCACGCCCTCTGGAAATGGAACCCTTGAAGGGTTTTAAAATATGAGAATGACATGATAAGGTTTGCATTTAGAAAAAATCCTTGAGCATCAATCATGTGTCAGGTGCTTGCGTGACTTCATAATAGATCTGTTAAGGAAATATAAAACAGGCCCTGGCCAGGTAGGTCAGTTGGTTAGATCATCATCTGTATATGCCAAGGTTGGAGGTTCGGTCCCAATCAGGGCACGTATGAGAGTCAACCCATAATGCATAAATAAATGGAACAACAAATCAATGTTTCCCTCTCTCTTTTTCCCTTCCTTTCTTTTAAAAAATCAATTAAAAGAAAAAAATATACAAAACATGGAGTTCTTTGCTAGGGACTGTGTGATCCTTTGGAGTTAAGGTAAAGTTCAAGTACCCTTATCAAGCAACAGCCCTTCCCTTTGCATTGACATAGGGTGACCAAACGAGGGCCAGGCAGGGAGGGAGCGCCATGGTGGCTGAACTGGGAAGACTTCTTGGGGGCCGCATGTCAGCTGGATATAAAACGATGGTCCGAACCAGGGGAAGATGGTAACCCGTCTCTCACACGCTTCCCCTGGGCTTATGAGAAGAGAAACGCCTTCTCAACCCAGCTGGACGCCTCCCTGTAACCCTGCCTTCGTTTCCAGAATGACCAGAGCTCTCATGGACTCACTTGGACCCGAGTGGCGCCTGAAGCTGCCCTCTGTCCCCTTGGTGCCTGTCTCAGCCCAGAAGAGGTGGGATTCCTTGCCTTCGGAAAATCACAAAGAGCCGGCTAAAAGCAAGTCCAAACAAATCACAACTGCCAAGAGCAGAGGTAAGCTGTGACTTCCTGCTTAGGTTTAGTTTCCCCGTATCCACTTTCTTTTGAGTAATCTTCTAAAAACTGTCCTCATTTAAGCCGAGTTATCAAAATAATATTTTTAAAAAAGAGCCTTAACCTCTTAGAGACTGTCTGAACACTACAGTGAGGGTTGTGAGAAAACGTCCCCCGCAGTAGGGACTGAGTGGTAAAGGCACGTCGGACTCCCAGCCTGGCGCTTGGGTGTGCGGTGTCGGTTCCCGTCTGTCCTCTGGCAGCACTTGGGTGTGTAATACTGGACTCTTTGGTTACAAGAACAGAAACCTCACCATGGTAAAAATGATAAAGAGATTTTACTGGCTCCTCTAATTGAAAAGTCTTAGGGTTCCAGTTCGGGCAGGGCTTGCCCATCAGCTCACGACATGATCAGGCTCTGACGGCCTCTCTCCGCACTTTTCCCAGCTCTCTCCTCTGCTGCGGTCGGGGTTGATTTCGGGCATGCTTCCCTCTCAGCAGTAAAGGGGCTGTGGCCGTCTGGTCTCCCATCCATATACCACGCCTCATGACCTAGACAAAGAGAAAAACTTTTTTCCTGGGAGTTTTCTTTCCCCCAAATCCCTAACTCACTTATATTCTCAGTTTATGCTGGTCTCTTTGGTCACAGGCCATCCCCTCAGCTGGTCCCTGTGACCAAGGCCTGAGGTTTTGTGACTAGCCCAGCCCTAAGCCACCTGCCCTACCTCCAGAGCCGGGGCCGGCGGGGGGCGGGGGGGGCTTCGCCAGGAACCCGAGCACGGTGTGAGTCCCCGGGAGGAGAAATCAGAGAAGGGAGGTCAAAGGCAGGTGGCCCTGCACAGGAGACTGTCCACCTCGACTGTAAGCGAAGGGGACCTACGGGACCCTCGGATGCTGCCCCGGGGGATTGCCCCAGCTCGACAGCCGGGGCTGGGGCCAGGCAGCGCAGGAGGGTCAGGGCTGGAGCCCGGTGTGGGCGGCAGGAGTTCTTCCCTTCCCAGCAGAGCGCCGGGCTGGCCACAGGCAGCATTCACTCTGGCTTGTGGGAGCCTGTAACTGTTCCTCGCTCTCCCCTAGAATGAAAACGGGGGGTGCTAATGAACTATATGGCCTCAGTGCACCTACCACTTCCTTCCTTGTTTCAGAGTCGGCGAGCCCGTGTGGCCCAGGCAGGCCCTGTGCTGAGCAGTGAGACACAGGCAGGATGGGCAGTCTTGGCCCTTGGGAGCTCTCGGTCTAATGACTGACACACACAGACAGCATTTTAAGATACCGGAGTACGGACAAGTGCTTAAGCATCTAGTATTTGGGGAATTCAGAATTAGAATTGACGTGTGTGGGGGGTAGTCGGGAAGAGGCTCACAATGGAGATGACAGGTTGAGCTGGCCCTTAAAGGGTGAGTTCTTCAGGTGGAAAAGGGAGGAGGGGCAGGAATTCCTGGCGGGGACAGTGGAGAGTTAGCGAATGCACTGGGCGCTGCCTGCGGTGAAACAGCGTGCAGTCTGTTTCAGAGCCGAGCTGGGGTGAAGCTGAAGCTGTGTGTGTGTCTTGCAGCCTGCGGGCTCTGCTCTGAGAGAAGACTCATGCACATGTGCATGCGGAGATATGTACAAGAGTGTCCACAGCAAAATGTTCATCATAGCAAAAAACAAAACTGAAAACAACACAGGTCTCCCTACTAACTGCATTGCAGTAGTGGGAACGGACAAACTACTGGTGCACCAGCACAGATCAATCTCAGGAACGTACCTTTGAGGGGAAGAAAGAAAACAAGGTCATAGGAGAATACATAGAATTATTCCTTTATGTGAAGTTCAAAACAAACAGCAAATGGTTTATAGATACTATTGTATAATAAACTACAAAAACAAAAGGGAAGGATGCATAGGACTGAGGACAGTGGTTTCCTCCAGGGGCGGGTTGATTTGGGGAAGGACCCGCAGGGCTTCAAAGGTCCTAGTGAACGTTCTGTTTCTTAAGGGGAGAGACGAGTTTGAGAGTGTTACTCTACTCCTAAAACCTTACCCTTGTCATAAATATTCAGTGTTTTACAGTTTTTAAAAATTAAAAAAGCAGGTGATACGGGAGCTGAGGCTGGAACAATTAATTGAGGCCCGAAGGCCAGGTTGAGCAGCTTGGATTTCACCTCTTTCTCCTGTTTCTCCTTGAAAGCCAGGGCAGATGTGTTAGGTGAGGGGGAGACGCTCAGGCTCCGACCGAAGCAGCGATAGGAATAGCCCTCGTCTTCCCTTTTCTGAAAGCCTGGGAGCTCTACCCTTTCTTTACCAGATGCTTTATTTAAATACTTCACCAGATGCTTGTTGATTTAAATACTTAATTATTCTCTTGTTCTAAGTTCATGGGGGTTTGCACTTCCTTGTGTGGTCTCAGATTTCCTCCTCACGGCAGCCCTGTGTGCAGCAGGTGTTGCCCCCATTGTACTGGTCAGGAAGTTGAGGTCCGGCAGGGTAGATTGGTCACACGAGATGTTCCATCTACCGAGTGGCAGTGCCAAGGCTGAACCTAGGTTGCTGTTTATCATGTGTATGTTCCTGTGTGCATGTATGTTTATATCAGGAGTCCCCAACCTCCTGTGAATGAAGAACTGTGTCTAGTTTGCCCCAGGCCATTGATTGAGGTTATCACGGATCAGGAAGGATGCTTTACAGCGGCGTAGGAAACCTCTGGGAGAGGGTTGTGGGTGACCCAGAAGAGATGATGCTGAAGATACCTCACTGGGCACCTGTTCCATGATTGTGTTCTCTTCTGAATTTCTACCTAGTGCCTTCTTCTGGGGATGTGGAGAGAGCCAGAGTTCTGAAGGAAGAAGGCAATGAGCTCGTAAAGAAGGGAAACCATAAGAAAGCTATTGAGAAGTACAGTGAAAGCCTCTCGTTTAGTAACCTGGAATCCGCCACGTACAGCAACAGGTACCTTCCCCACAGCTGCTGCCGGGGGTGTTTCAGGACGTTGGAGGTCCTGTTCCATAGTCTTCTCTTGGACTGTGGTAGGCTTTTCTTGCCCAGCATTTAGTCAGTATGTTCCATCTCAGAACATGCATTCACACTCATTTTGGTCACTGTGAGGCATTGCTGGTGGCGTCCACTCTCTTAAAGGGATAGAAGCAGAGGGTTGCCAAAGGGACACCTGGGTTTTAGCCCCTCCCCCCCCGAATTTTCATTAAGCACCCAAATCAGATGTCTTGCTACAGAGACATCACCTCAGCACAAGTCTTGTAGCCTTTCCACCTTTCCCGCTCCCACCCCATGGCTTCTTCAAGACCCGCCTGTTAGAAATGTTGGCGCTGAGAACACAGGGTAGGACCCAGGGTGTGGGGTAATTATTGCCTGGCCTGGGACTGAGAGGTGGGTGCTGTCTCGCCCGAGGGGTTAGACTCCTGGTGCGTAGGAGGCCCTGCAACTGTGCCAGGTTTTACTCTTTAGTTCAGAGGTCTAGTCTCCACTACAGGCTCACCGTACCGTATCCAAACCTGCGTTTCAGAGTCTAGTAGGGTAATAGGGCCTATATAGTGCATCACAGAACATCAGGGTCTGGGGCAGCTTGTGAAGTTAATTGTTAGCATTTCTGTAGCCAAACAGGGAAATTACACATTCACATGAGGTGGCGCAAAGAGGCTGGCCTCATGTCGGGTCAGGTCAGGGAACCGTGAGAACCAGGCCAAATCCCAGCTCTGCCCTTCAGTAGCGGTCGAACCTTGAGAAGTTGCTTCCCCCGCAGCTGGCGTTTTCACCTGTATAAAGGGGCTAGGGTGGTTGTGAGGACCGAAGATGTCAGCCACGCAGAGTACGTGTTTGGCAAATCAAGATCGCTACTCAGAGTACCTCACGGCTTTGGGTGGCCCCTAAGAAGTGACTGAAACCTCTGGATCGGCCTTTCCCTGTCAGAGCGCTCTGCCACTTGATCCTGAAGCAGTATAAGGAGGCAGTGAAGGATTGCACCGAAGCCCTCAAGCTGGATGGAAAGAACGTGAAAGCCTTTTACAGACGGGCTCAAGCCTACAAGGCTCTCAAGGTAAGAGGATCCCGACTAGATGGCCCCAGTTACGGTCATTTATGCCTGTGATGGCTCCTCCAGGGCACAGTCCAGGCAGGGGGGCGTCTGCCATACGCCTCCTCACCCGGGGCCCAGGGCAGCTCAGGGCAGGCCTGTGTGCCGGGGTTTGAAAAGCCTCTGCTGTCTCAGCAGCTGTCCCCCCACAGTGGGTCTCACCTCGGTCACAGCACCATGCCCACCCCCTTCTCTCTCCTATTAGGACTATAAATCCAGCTTCGCAGACATCAACAGCCTCCTAAAAATTGAGCCCAGGAACGGCCCTGCACAGAAGTTGCAGCAGGAAGTTAACCAGAACTTAAACTAGAAACCCGAGAGGGCAGCGGGAAACCTCTGCCAGACGACCTTCCTCTGTGCCTGCTCCTGGGACCCAGCATGCCCCAGAGTGCGCCCTGAAGCACCATCCTCTGCCCCTCAAAGAGGTAATGACCTCCCACCCCTTAAGAGGCTTTGTTCAAATGAAGCTCAGTGTAGCCAAAAACCCGACGTTGTTTTGCTGGAAAGGTCCCCTGCTCTGCTGAAGCCCTGTTCTCCATTCTCCCTGCCTTGGACAGCTAGCAGATCATACAAACAGGTCCTCAGCAAAGCACTGGGCTCTGTCCCCGCCCCAAGTGTGCCCCAGACTGAGTGCAGCCTTTCGAGCTTCACCACAAGCTCCTCACGGTGGTCCATCTGTGCAAACTGAGCTGGGGGTGGGGGGGCACAGGACTAGAAAACCCTGTCCCACCTGCACCTACTGCAGCCTGTTGAGCTGGTTCTCCAGGGCTGCCATCCTGCCCTGTCCTTGGCATAGTGCTGTGTGTTCTGAGCTCCAGCCCCTTCCGGCCAGGCCCCACTGTGGCGGGGTGCAGAGCCCTGGCTCTTGGAGGGCTCTGCTGGCTCTTTGCGGCCTCCTGCGTGGAGGTCTGTAAGCGGTGTCGGGGCCCAGCAGTGTGACCGCTCCTGAAGGTGGGGTGGGAAGACAAGCCTCCTTGAGGTCAGTGTCCTTCTGTTCTGGGCAGGGACCTGCCTTTTGTTCCCAACTGTGGCTCCCTCCAGGTTTCGTAGTTCTTTGTTATACGAAGTTAATTTGAACTGACTCCGGTTTTGTTGAACTGTGTGTTTAAGTGATTACATTAAATGTCTTTCTTCTACATAAATATGTTGTACTTTCATTTATGCTTTTTCAGTTTAGTGCTTGAAAATTTTCAGTAACAACAAAAGCTACCGCTTTCTGAGCATTTCTCTATTCATTGAACAAATTCACTGGGAGGTCTGCTTGGGCCAGGCACTATGTATAGTGCTGGGGAAACAACAGTGAATAAAGGCAATCCCTGCTCTCAGAGGGCTGACAGTGCAGCGGGACAGCGAGAAATTCATCATCAGATAATCCCAGGAACAAGTGCAAAACTGCAGCCCACTGACGTGTTTTGAAGGAGGCATCGCACAGTGCTTTCCCTGCCGAACTGGGGAGAGTTGGCCCCGTGGAGGGCACGGGGTCCCTGAGGAAGTATAAGCTGGAATTGCGGTCTCACGCAGAGTGTGGCTGGTGAAGGGGAGGGAGAGGCCCTTGGAGGGAGGACAGGGTGAGCACGGGGACCGGAAAGCACCACTCCAGTTCACAGACATGCTGCAGACAAGCAGGGAGAGCTTCGGCATCCAGCCAACGCTGAGGGGGCCCGCCTTTCCCAGGCTGTGTCCTCTTAACAGAGTAGCACTTGGGTGACTTCCCCAAGCAGAGCAGAGGGTTTTCCTTGTCCCTTCGCTCCCTGTCCGCACATGCGGAGCAGCACCTGGCTATTAGCACGCTGCTTCCAGCCTCTGGCAGGTTCTGAGCAGTCGCAGACCTGTCAGCTGAAGTGGGTCTTAGAGCCCACAGACAAATGCCATGGCCAGGCGACCATCTCAAAGCGGGAGCTGTCCCCTTTTTGGTGCCCTCTTAAGCAGGCATGGCTTTTACCTGATTTCAGGCAGGTTCAGCAGTGACATCCTGTCTGACTGTCTTTCTCTTCCTGAGGCAAATACCTCGATTCACTAACATAAACAGAAGCTGAGGCTCTTAAAACCTGAAGAGCCTCTCCCCTCCCAGCAGGGGAGGAAAATTGTGACCCAGGAAGGTAGCCTAGAGCGGGTTTTTTCTACAAGCCGCCTTCCTGTTAACACAAGCCCTCGGCCCAGAGCCTAGAAGCAGCTGTGGCCTCCTGCACATTGACCTGCACTGCTGGCGCTCGAGCCAGGCGTCCAGGCGTGGGCACCTGTAGCTTGAGTTCACTTCTCAGTGCTGGGTGGTGACAAACGTTGAGTCATTCACTGCACCACTGGCGAGTGGCAGCTGCTCCTCGGGGGCTCTCAGGCAGCCCTGCCGTCACTGCCCCCTCTGTAGACCCCAGCACCCCATTGCGTTTGTTCCGCCCAGCGGAGCCTACCCTTTGCTCTACCCCACCCTCCCTCACACAGAAAGCCTCCTGGGACACGAACTGCAGTTTGCAGCACTTTTAATGCACAAAGCAAAAGGTAATGGACTGGCTGGGTGACCAGCCTTTGTTCCACATGCAGAGCTCCGGTACCAATACAGCCCAGCTGGGAATCAGTAAGTTACAGCTCACAGCGTCTTAGAGCCAAGAGCAGGAAACGCTTTTCTCTTGTCAGCTGAGGGAGTGAGGATTCCATTTTCTGGGGATGAAAGGGTAAAAAATGTTTCTGAAGTATGGCAGACACCTGGTCTTCAACCAGGAACAGACTGGGCCAGGGAAAGCCCAGCCTGTGATGGGTGAGGCCAGGCCAGGCAGGGCAGCCGGCAAGAGAACACTCTTCACTTCATAGTTAACACCCATCCCAGGCACACGCTTCCCCCAGATTTGTTCTTGGGGCCTCAGAGAAAGCAGTGACATGACATGGTTCTCAGGAACTCTGTGAAAGTCTCTGCCCCGTTCTTTGCCGTTTCTGGGCTCAGCTACTTCTCCCCCCACTCCTCACACCCTCACCCACCCACCTGGTTTCGGTCACGTTCCCTTTCGTCTGCTCCGTGGCCTGGTGAGCCTGCAGCACTGCCAAAGCCTCTTCGACCTGTGGCACGGTGGGAGGGGCTTAGTGCGGCCGCTGCAGCAGGGTCCCAGGAGAGCCCTCACCTCCCCCACCCTCCGCAGGGCTTCTGCAGAGCCCTCATCTGACTGTTGCTTGCCAGCTCCCATGACTGAGGCCCACGAGCCCCTTCTCAGGACAGATGTTCACTGCTGGAAGGCTGGGAAAATCGTGAGCCTTATACTGAGTCCGAACACAGCTCCTTGTGCCAAAACCTTGCCTGTGGAGCTTCAGAGAATCACCTCTTCCCACTCCAAGAGTGCAGGTGTCAGCAAGACGATAACCCTCATCTTTCCAAGCGGCAGTCTGCTTGCCCACCTAGGAGATGCCCTGGTCCTGAGCGTCCCTCCTGCGCCCAGGGCTCCCAGCCACCCAGGCCCCGGCCCACCTTGGCACTGAGGGACTCAGGAGACTCCAGCATGAGCAGCAGCTCCGAGTTGTCGATCTCCAGCAGCATGCCTGTGATCTTGCCAGCCAGCTGGGTGTGGACGTCGCAGATGAGGGGGTAGAGACGCTCACCTGCATGGAACAGCCTCTGATGGCCTAGGAACGCACGCCTGGCTGACACCCCAGTCTCCCGAGGGTGGTACTATGGAATGGAGCAGCGAGGCCTCTGGGCGGCTGTCCCAGAACTGCTCCTTCCAGGCTGTGTCACTTAACCTGGTTACCAGGGGCCTCTTTCCCAACTGCGAAGTGGGCATCAAAACCCTGCTTTGGAGGTCATTCTGCAGAATTCTTCTTTGGTGTTAGATGTGAAGATGCAGATGGGGCTGACACGAGGGTGCATGCTTTTTAAAGACTACTCTTGTTCATTCTGCATGAAGTACTTCCAAGCATACACGCTGAGATTCTAAACAGGATATGACAGTGCTGAACTGGACTTTTTGCGGGGGATGGGGAGCCAAATACACACAATAAGTTCACTTGGCACCATCAGATACTTCTAGTGCCAGGGCCTGGGGTTGGTGGTCAGCCCATCTCGGCAATGTGTGGAGGGCCTAGCCAGGCTGGGGTGCTGGGGCGCCTTGAGTAGGGGAGGTCTTCCCATGATGCACGTGAAGGTGTTTTCAAGGAACTGCTCACAGAGCCTTCTGCCTCCATTAAGGCCACTGAGAATTTTTCTTCGAGGTGTAGGGAGTAAAGTGGCAAAACCTCAGTGAGCTGAGGGAACAGTGGGGTAGCAGCAGTGGGGGGCTACAGAGAAGGGTCAGCAGATCTTGGTGGCCTTGAAGAAGAAAACCTGCCAACCACCAGCAAGCTCGTTCGTCCAACAGTTAGTGGGCCCCTGAAACAGGGCGGGTCGCAGACACGGGAGGAACTGCACAGGAAGGCAGGGTCCAGTGGGGAACAACATTTCTTTTCCGGATGCACACTTTTGTCTACCCCCTACAGTGGGCTCCACTGGGAGGCCGATGAAATGTGGCGACAGCTTCTTCCCATTCATGGGGGGAGCTGTGTGAGGAACCGCAGCATCCACCTTGGGGGCCATGTCTCAGCAGGAACCCAGGACCACACCCTTCACACCCCTACTCCTCCTCCTTGGCCCCTGATCCCCCCCACATCTGGGGTCTCTCCCAGCCGAAATCAAAGTCAAGAACAGCAGAGCTGAAGAAACCCTGGGAGCATCTGGTCTGACCAGTATTTTAAGATAAGAGAACAGGGCCCAGATTATGGTGGCAGCTTGGTAAGATCACCCAGCAGGCTGGCCAGTGGCAAAGCTGGACCTTGTCCTCACATCTGACCCCACTCAGGGTGTTTCCCACCAGGCCAGCCAGCTCCCAGCCTCCTCCCCCCGCCCCAGCGCAGGGGACACAGCCACTCACCGATCATCTGCTTCTGTCTGTGCGGCGGTGCCGCGGCCAGCATGGACGCGGTCAGCGGCTCCTGTCCAGGGAGGCACACAGGAGGCTCCTGGACCTGCACATGGTGCCAGGGACACAGCCCTTAGCCACCACAACGGGCAAGGCCTCGAGACACTTAACCCTGTCAGGGGAGCACGGACCTCGGGGAAGGCTCTGGGAGAGGGGGCAGAAGCAAGGTACACACAACGGGGTGGGACAGAGCCCCCAGCGAGGGTACGGTGGACTAGATGACAAAGTTCCACTCTCATGTAGATGTTTTCCACGGCGCTAGGAACCTCTAAAAGTCCCCCGTGCGTGCTGCCAAACGAAGCCACACCTTACTAATCACTTTGTGCCAGAAAAAGCACTTTTGATCAAGTAGCTTTTATGACCATATTCCCAACATACTTCTGACCCTTTCACATCTTGGTAACTTTAAAAGCGTTTTGCTGTTTAAAGACCACTCTTGTTCCTTTTGTAAGAAATTGTCTGAAGTATACATACTGAAATTCTAGACAGGAGATGAAAATGCTGACTTTGAGACTTTTGAGGGGTAGCAGGGAGAAAAATACTCAGCCTTTAAACTTAATGACAGTAGATATCTTCAGTTCTGTTCTGCAGATTAATCACAGCTCTGCTGCTCAACACAAAAATACTAAGAAAATCCAAATTGTGACTAAAAAACAAAACGTGACCCTGGCCCTCTTCCTCCTCCTGTTGGCGAGAGTGATCTCTTCTTGATTGTACACGTTAATAAATGAAACTTTACAAGCCAAGAAAGGAAGAAACCAAGGCCCAGAAAGGGCCGATGCCTTAGCCAAGATCCCAGGACCTTGGACTACAGAGCCACGGGGCCAGCCTTACCCTTACCCTGTGTGTGTGGGGTGTTCCCAAGAAGTATGTGCGTGTCAGGAGAGACCTGTGTAGCGTAGAGCATCCTGCCTCACCGGGCCCAGTGGTCTGGGTACCCATGTTGGCTGTAAAGAATAAGCAGGGATGTTAGGGCCTGGCACCGACCTGAAGCCATAAAGCCTAAAGACACTCATGCACGTAGACTCCCCAGCACTGAGTACAGTGCCAGCACACGGGTGCACAAAACATCTGTCCCTTGTGCTTGCCTGTGGGCCCAATCTACACCCTTGTTCGCAGCTGTTGCTGTGAGCCTACTGAGTTCAGATCTGGTGCTAAGCCCCTGCGTGTATGATCCCATTCACCTACTCAACAAAATGGGAAAACTGTTCTCATCCCCATTTTAAAGATAAACCAATCTGGCCTTGACTGGCACGGCTCAGATGGTTGGGTGTTGTCCCACACAGAGAAAGGTCATAGGTTCAATTCCCAGTCAGGGCACATGCCTGGGTTGCAAGTTTAGTCCCTGGCTGGGGCACAGATAAGAGGCAACTGATTCATGTTTCTCTCTTACACCAGTGTTTCTCTCCCTCTTTTTCTCCCTCTCTTCCTCCTTCTTTTAAAAAAGAAAGAAAGTGCTACACAGCCTCTAAAGGCAGCCCTGCTCTCCACGCCAGAGCGGCAAGGTCACTGGACGCCGGCTCCGACTCCCCAGCAGTGCCAGGCCCCCGCCCCGGCCCTCTCGCACGCCCGTCCCTCCTGGCCCTGCCAACACTCACCCACTCTCTGGGTGTGGGGCGCCTGGGTGGAGGTCTTCCCGACACTGCTGCTGCAGGCCGGGGGGCACCGAGACATGGCTGGCGGCCGGACCATTGAGGCAGCTGGAGGGCGGGTGGCTTGTGGTACCGAGAACACAGAGAGAGGTGGGCGGGAAACGGGGTTATTAATCGGAGTGGCACACCACACCCTGATGGTGCCAGGGTGAGGAGGGGGCGCCAGAACACTGACACAGAAAGATGAGTGAATGCACCTCCTCCGGCAGAGCCACAGCCTCAGGGAGGGGTGTGGAAACTCGCTACTACACACCGACTCACGCCTCCCCAGAGCCCCCAGAGGCACCCGCGTCAGGATCGCACACCTCCGTCCCCCTCCCCGCCCCGACACGTGCACGTCAGGTGGACTTCACTCTTAGAGAAGGGCCATTCATCCAAAGTGCAGCCAAAGGAGTTCACTTCCTCAGCTTGGCAAGAAGTTTTCAACCACAAATCAGACCAGTCTTTGGAGCCGACTCTAAAGATAATGCGAGCCTTTTACAGGCTCAGCACCTTGGTGCTTCCACGTATCTCATTCAGGCCCACACTGAGAAGGAGAAACTGAGGCTCAGAGAGGACGTTACCCACCCAAGTTAACACCTGAGGAAGTGACAGGGAGCCAGGCTTGGCCCCAAAGCTCGTGCTCTTTATCCACGGTGCTGCCCGCCACCCCACGCACCCCACACTCACGGGTAGAAGGGGCTGCGTCACTCACGGGAGGATCTCGGTGGCTGGGCCACCCACCTGGGGGCAGGCTGCGCAGGCAGGCCCGAGCCAAAGTACCCGGGCTGGGCAGGAGGCTGTGTGGGAGAAGACGGCCGAGAGTGAGGGGTGGCGGCCGGGGAAGTGAGAAACTGCCTCCCCTCGGGGTTGCCACCGCAGGAGCTCCACTGTGCCCCCCAGGGGACTGGTTAGTAAAGACTCACGAAGCTGGGATGAAGGCCTGCTTCCCGTTTCGCGATGTCCATTATCCCTCAGCCCTTAAGGGCACGATCTCAGGTTCAACCCTTGCCCCTTATTATCTGAGCTACTAGCCCAACGGTCTGGATAAACGGTGACAGGCCCTACTGAAACTTGGGTCCTCTAAAGCAATTGCTAAGAGGAGCAGGAATGTCCCAGTCTAGTAGCCTTTAATAGCTAACATCTTCCTACTTCTTCTAGGTCACAAGACCTCCTTTCCCAAACCATGCCCCTCAGTGATGTTCACACCCCGCAAAAACCACCATGTAAACTGGGGGAGTACGACCTACACTCTGCTGGTTTTACAGAGTTAGAAGGCGCACAGGCATATTAGGGTAGAACAATGTATGTGGGGGAGAAACCTGGGCTTCCTTTGTTTACTGTAATATTTCCCAAACCTAAATTTGGCCAAAGCATCCTTTTCAGCCTACCATTCACAAATCTCTCTCCTTCTGGGAAGCGCTGTTTGACGGCGGCAGCACCATTAGCCCTTTTAGAGGTAGGGTGACAAGGACCTGCTGTTTCTGGCAGAAGCGGGTTGGGAGCCTACGTCTGCCTGTGAAGCTCTCTTCCTGCTCTACACCTGGCTGTGGGGGTGCGGGCAGGCCCTCACCTGGGGCAGGAAGTAGCTGGCGGGCTGCTGGAAGGAGCCCAGGAGGGGGCCGCCCAGGGTCCGTGCAGAGAGGCGCTGCTGCATGTACTGGTTGGTCAAGATGGCCTTCCGCTCCTCCTTGCGCTGGGCCAGCGCCACATACAGCGGCTTGGTGCCCAGGATGCACCCGTTCATCTCTGTCACGGCCTTCGTTGCCTCCTCTGGAGAGGAAAAACACACAAAGCCAAACCCTTTGCTGTGGCCACCCTCTGTCATCACCTAAAAGCAAGACAAGACAAGGGCTGCTGGGAAGGTGAAGGAAGACTCCCGGCGCCTGTCCCTCCCCCTCCCCCTCCCCCAGGGCCCAGGAGAAACCCATCAGAGGTGTGCTGTCACCCTCGCATTCACTGAGGGCCACCGCATGCCAGATACTCAACACCCCTCATGTCACGGCAACTCCCTCTTCAAACAGGAGGAACATGGGATGCAAGAGCGACAGGTCCGAGACCAGGCCCCTGGCTCCTGGAGGGCTGTCCCTGTCTCACAGGCTGCTGCTCCCCAGGGTCGGGAGAGCTGCATTTCAGAGTGTGTTTCTATCTCAGACTGCTCAGGCTGCGAGGGATGCTATCACAGAGGGGCTTTAATTCAGTGAGACGGTTGTCTGGGGTAGGTTACAAATCTAAGACTGAGGCAGGCTCTTCAGCCAGGGCCCCGATCTGAACCATTTTAGGTGAGGTCACTGTATTTGCATTTCGACTACTTCCTGGGTTTTATTAAACTACTCGCATGATTCTCTACTTCACCTGTGAATTATGGACATAAAAAAGGTGCTCAACAGTTGTATTTCCTAAAACTCCAATAAAGAGTTAGATTTGTAGGGAATATAAAATAATTTGAATTTCTAATTTTGGTGCTTTACTCTGTTAATTTTCTTTTTACTAGAAATAAAAGTTCTTTTTACCATTAAAAAAAAAAAGTGACTTGTCCAGGGTCACCCGGCCAGTGGATCAGACGTCAGCCAGGACCCCAACCCAATGCACCACCTGGAAAACCCCCGCTGCTTCCACAAGCCCCTGAGCCAAGTCTTTTGGAGTCTGGGTAAAAGGTTCTTAGACTTTTAATTAAAATAATCTTTTTATTTTGGAATAATTTTAGATTTATAGAAAAGTCTCAAAAATAGTACACAGTTGCTGGATACCATTCACCCAGCTCTCTCTGAACGTTAACATGGAACATTCGTCACGACTACCACGGTAGCACTGGCACACCATGCTAGTAACTAAACTGTCCATTTCCTCCGGACTTCACTAGTTTTACTACTAGTATTCTTTTCCTCTTCCAGGATCCAATCTGATTTAGGGTTTTTAATCTTTTCCAGAGTCAAGACACTGGCCTGGCTCCCCTACACGGGGAGCAACAGAGCTGAGATAATTATTACATCTGCTCCGTGAGACACCCCTGATTTTCCAGCTGTTCTTTGCTACCTGCTAATATTAGAAGCCTTCACCTGAGACTTTACAGATCCACAGGGGGGTCAATGGATGGAATTTACGCAGTCTGTAAACTCAGATGGGGGAAAAAATGGTATCTGTATTTTCCTATTAGCATTTCCCTCCTATTTTGAACGTGGACAGCAAAAAATATATAGTAGTATTAACTGTGTTTGTGATTTTTACAGCAAGAGAGAATATTTTCATGTTGCATTCATTATTGCTGATTTCAAAATATCATTTATGCTAATTGCTAGTTCATTAGACCTTTCAGTTTGATGCATTAACAAAGAAGTACAGCCCTAGCCCATGTGGCTCGGTTGGGCATTGTCCCATAAAGCAGAAGGTCCCAGGTTCTATGCCTGGTCAGGGCACATGCCTGAGCTGCGGGATTGGTCCTGGTCAAGCCATATGCAAGAGACAGTGGATCATTGTTTCTCTCCCTCTCTCTCTCCTTCCCTTTCCTTCCCTCTAAAATCAATAAGCATGTCTTCAGGTGAGGATAAACAATAAAATAAAAAAATAAAATTAAAAATATAAAGAAGCACATACAGCTTTCACCTTAGTATTTTGATAATTATTTCAATGTAACTGTTTTTTGTAATCCTATGAATTTTCCTTTATGCATGTATTACTATTCTCAAAAGTGATCCAAAGACTTCACCAGACAGCCAAATTTTCTTGGCACAAAAATATTGTCTTAACAAGTTAATAAGAACTTATGTTAGATAGTAAAAATAAAATAAAATTAGTACAACACGCATGCAAAGCTTACTATGAACTTAATAGTAATGCTTAATGTAAACATTTTATATACATTAACTCATTTAATTTTTCTAATCCCTATTTTATATTAAGTTTTATAAAAATATATAAACATATAAAATTAATTAGCAAGATAGGTGTGTCTCAACTCTAATCTAAAAATCCAGATTTTTACAATTCCCTTCATTCGAGGAGTCCTCAAGGAGGTGGGTGAATCTCCTGAAATTACATGCAATGTGTGTAAATAATCAGATCATGATATCACCACTTACTGTGGGCCGGTACTCTGTGCAGGTTCTTTTTAGCTCTCAGGGAATCTCTAAAGACAGAGAATGTCAGTCCCCTTTTACAGAGAGGTAAACAGAATCCAAAAGGCAAAGTCACTTCCCTTAGGTTCTACAGCTAGTTAATGGTACGACTGGGATTAAGACCCAGTTCTCATTAACTTTAATATCCCAGCTTTCAATTGCAATACTACACTAAATATGCATTTGCCTGAAGAGAGGGCCCACAACCTCTTACGATGTTTAATCAAATTTCCTGTTGCTTAATTTACATATCCCACAGCTCTCTGTCACATTCTGTTTTCAAAATCTCCTTAGCTCAAAAATAGTTTGAGCCTCTTCCCCAAACAGTAGGGTCCATAAAGGACATTTAAAGTAGGATTTAACAGGCAAAAGAACATCTATACCACTTCCTAAGAACACAGCCATCACAATACACGTGTGCGGGTCCCCGGCCCATTATCCACACTGATCTCTTCGGAAAGTTCCCCACTCCCACCTGCAGCACCCTACCTCCTTACAGCCAAGTCAAATCCTGCTGCCGCTGCCACTTCTTACAGGAAGCCCTCCTTCCTCTTCCACCGAGCTACCGAGCTCTGCCTCCAATACTTACCCTCACCCAACACATGCTTTATTACAGATTTCAGTTAGTGATGCATCTGACTTCCCCACTACACTACAAGCCACTCCAGGACAAGGACTTGTTCCTGCATGCTTCCCACAGGGCCTGGTGGAACAGCAGGTGCCTGAGTATGAAATGAGTGAACACTGGGCCATCCTAAAATCATCTGGGAAGCTTTTCAAAATAAAATACCCAGTCCTTCCCTCCGAGGGCTACATTCAATTTCTGACTCGGGTGTCTGTATCTAAGAGCTCCCCGGGGGATTTTTAGTGAGACAGCAAGGTTGAGAGCCATCCAGAGAGCTCAGCTCCCTCATCTGTAAGGTGAGGCTCAGAAGACATCTGCTCAAGGTCACAGAGCTACTGAGGAGAACAGCCAATTGTCACACCTCAATTGTGTGGCTTAATAGATGGGGAAGAATAAATAAAGAATGATGCAGCCCAACCCTCTCATTTTTCAGATGGAGAAATTGAGGCCCAGCAGGGATGTGTCATCGGCCAAGGCTGGACAACAAAAGTCAAGGGAAATGTCAGACATGAATTTCTGGAATCTGGCATACAGTAGGCACTCAATAAATGCTTGTTGAATGAACCAAGGTTACAGTGAGCCCCAGTAAGACCAGCTGTGTTTCCACCCGCTTCCCCTCCAGCCCAGACAAGGCTGCAGATGAACAAGCTCCAATGGGATCAGACACAGCCCCCAAATCCAAAAGGTGGAGCTCAGCACCAACTCCCTGGAGGCCATGGGAGGGAGGAGGGGCGTGTGGGCAGCGAGAGGATGTGAGGGGAAGTGCTCTGCCCCTGTGGGCGCCCACAGCCCTCGCCTTGGCGCTGGTGATCACTCCGTAGGGAGAGAACTCTTTCCTCAGTTTCTCATTATCGATGGAGTCATCCAGGTTCTTCACGTACAGGTTCACACCCTGGAAGGGAAGGATGCTGCTAGATATGCCTTCCTCGCCAAGCTCCCAGTTGCCTTGGGGCGTAGGGGGTGGAAGCCCTGGCCACCAAGCCTCCACAGTACCCAGGCCCCCCACCAATCACTCAGCATGCCCATCACCTGGAAGCTGGAGCCCCCACCATCCCTAAAGCCCAGTTCCCAGAAACGGGATTGCTAGAGGAAGACGTCACATTCAGGGCCCTCCACACACAGACGCAGCTGCCACCAGCAGGCTGACCCTCACCTGGTAACGGTTCAGCCGGTCCTGCTTCATCTGCTCGAACCTTCGCTTCAGCTCATTCTGCCGCTCCGCCCGCTTCTGGGCCCGGCCCACGAAGAGCAGCTGCCCGCTCACCTCCTTCCCGTTCATGTCCGTCACAGCCTGGGCAGAGAGGATGAAGCTGGAGTGCTGGGGAACCACCCCGAGGAGGCCCTGGCCTCCAGTCCTACCTCCTTGGTCTGGAGGGGGCCACTTGCCAGCCAGGCCATCTTGTTAGCTGAGACTAATCAGTACCAGATAAAGGCCATCTACTTTTTAAAGAACATGGGACAAAGTTTCAGAGTAAACTGTAGAGTCTTGTTAAAACTTGCTTTTGACTCTATTTTAAAAAGAGAAATTGAAATTTGCAAAGCTTCCCATATTTGACAATTAGTTTCTAACTACCCACTGATTTTTTTTTTAACAAAGCAGCAAGCATAATTCTTTCAAAATGGTGTGACAGCATAATCAATATCCTTTTCTTCATGTTGGATATCACAGCACAAAGGATCCTTTTGCTAATTATGAGAGCTTTAGTCTTAGAAACATTTGTACCTTAACCCTTGTTGATTTTTCTTTTCTTCAGTTACCTGAGCCAGCCAGACCCTAGCTTTTCTGTGACTTTGAGTGCATGAAATCCTACATCTTCTGTAAGATGTGCAACTTCTTCCTGCCATCCATTTCCACTAAACTGAATTTGCATTGACTTATCCCCCCAAATCAGCCGAAGGCAGAGCCCTGTGTGTCTGCCTCAATAGTTAGGATTAGATAGCAGTGTTAGTAAAGAGATGTGTTGAAGGGAACTTTTTTTAAAAGATTTTATCTATTTATTTTCAGAGAGAGGAGAAGGGAGGGAGAAAGAAAGGGAGAGAAACATCGATGTGTGAGAGAAACATCAATTGGTTGCCTCTTTTTCACCCCCAAATGGGGACCCAGCCCACAACCCAGGCATGTGCCCTGACAGGCAATTGAACCAGTAACCTTTCAGTTTGCAGGCCTGCGCTCAATCCACTGAACCACACCAGCCAGGATGGGAAATACCTTTTTAAGTGATCAGTTCATTAGTAAATACTTTCCTGTAATGACGACTTTCCCTTTCCTGCCTAAATATGCAAATATATGTAAATATTCATTGTGGCCCAAGACCTACCAGTTCTCCACCAGTCTTAAAAGCCATTACCAAAGTCTCTCAGACAATGGAGTTAATGGACCCCCGTAGCTTCATCCATCTACTCCCACTAGTCATTTCACAGTTGAGGAAAGCAAAACCTAGAGAGGGGCGGGACTTGTCCAAGGACTCACAAGAAGTTACCTTTCAATGGAGCCATTTACTTAAGAACAAACTTGAGTCAGAAAGCGCTGGTTCCCAATGATCACTCTTACTAGCTACAACCCATGGATCCTAATAACAACAGCAGAGCCCACAACAGTGGGGGTAGAGATGAAAATGTATGCAAAACCCTTAGCACACTGCCTGGCCTAATCTAAGTACTCAGTGCAAAGTGGCTGCTATCCACATGGCACCAGGATCCAGGTCTCGAGCCAGAATCCACCATGAGCTGGGCTCGTCCACGTCCAGGGATCGTAATGGGACAGCAGCCATGGAAAGAGCTTTATGGTGGGAGGCCAAATATAACATTTGTTATTCCAGTTTTGTCACTGTGTGACTGTGTATCATTCATTTGTTCAGCAAATATGTATATGGTATCTACTGGCAGGTACAATACTAGAGACTTAACGGTGAAATGAGACCCAGCCACTACCCTCAGTTCTACACATGGAAATCTGTGCTAATGATGGAGAGAGACAGATGATACCAAAAGTAAGTGAAGACAGGAAGAGGCAGCTTCCTGAAGGAGGGAAAGTATAAGCTGAGACCCAAAAGACAGGCACTAAATAGTCTAAAGCTATGTTGTCCACTATGGTAGTCACTAGCCACCTGCGGCTACGAAGCTCTTGAAATATGGCTAGTCTGAATTGTGCTGTAAGTTCCAGATTTCAAAGAATTAGTACAATAAAAGGGAATGTAAAAAAGAATCTCAATTTTTATATTAAATACCCATTGAAGTGGTCATAATTTAAATATGTTGAATAAAATATATTATTGATGAATACATTTTATTCAACATAAAATGTATTCATGTTGAATAAAATGTATTAAAATTAATTTCATAGTTTGAATAAAATGTATTATTAAAATTAATTTCACAGTTTCTCTTTTTACTCTTTTTAATGTGGCTACTGGAAGAATTTTTGTTTTATTTTTTTATCTACTGGAAAATTTTAAATTGCACATGTGGCTCGTGTTACATTTCTATTGGACAGCACTGGTCCAAAGAGTAGGAAAAGGGATGCCCTGGCCAGTTAGCTCAGTTGTTGGAGCATAGTCCTGATGCACCAAGGTTGTAGGTTCGATCCCCAGTCAGGGCACATACAAGAAGCAACCAATGAATGCATAAATAAGTGGAGCAACATATGAGTGTTTCTTCCTCTCTTCTTTCCTCTCTCTTTCTCTCAAATCAATAAATACATCTTTTTTTTTTTAAGAGTAGGAAAGGGAAGTATTGTGAGAAAACAGCATTTGCAAAAACCTAGAAGCAAGAAATAGCATAGCTCTTCCCCGCACTGTCCTCGATCCCACCATCAATTCAGGAAGAGGGTAGTGGCTGTCTCAAAGTCCCCTTCCCCCTCTGGTGCGGCAAGAATCTATGAAAACAAGCCAGCCCCGTGGCTTGGAAGTGACCGAAGGAGGCTTAAGCCTTCTGCCTTCAGCACAGGCAGGAAGGGCTCAGACTCGAGTGGCAGAGGCTAGGGAGGGACTCCCTTTCCTCCCGTGAGCAGCTGGAGCCCTCTGCCCTGACCTCCTTTCTTACTAGTCCTGGCTCAGCACCCCCTCCATGAAACAGGGCCATGGGGAGGCAGGCTCCTACCTTCTGGGCTTCCTCATGCTTCTCAAAGTTGACAAAGCCAAAGCCTCGGGAGTGACCGCTATCGTCCTTCATCACCTTCACACTCAGCATCTTCCCTGGGAAGACCAGACCTGACTCAAGGGGGAGCTAAGGGAGCCCCGGGGCGTTGCCCCTTTCCTCCCACAAGTCCTCGGGAAGCCCCAGGAGGGCCCCTCCTCCCAGCCTGACCAGGGAGCAGAAGAGAAAGTGACCCCAAACTCCCTCGGGAAACACACCCACCAAACTGGGAGAAGAGCTCCCCCAGGCCCTGCTCGTCCAAATCCACTTGGAGGTTCTTCACGTAGATGTTGGTGAACTCCATGGCCCGAGCCCCCAGCTCAGCCTCCCGCTCCTGTCGGGACTTGAAGTGGCCAACGAAGCTGTGGACACACCGGCAGGTAGGCAGCTGCCAACCATCAGCTACCCCCATCTCAACCCCAGCCCACTCAGCAAGCCCGGATCATTGGGGTCCATTGCTACCAGCCTCCAGGCCCCTGATTCTCTCATCAGAAGACTGGGAACGGCAACACTTCTTAGATGGAATATATCCAAGGCCCAACCACCTTCTGCAGTCAAGAGTCTATGCGTCAGCCTGAGGTTAGGAACACTTAATTCTTGTGGCAAATGCACAAAGGAACTCCTACCAGATACCCTAAGCAACTGAGTGCACAGGAGATAAGATCATGAACTTGGGAGTCACATCTGAATCCTTGCTCTCCAGCTGCCTAGCGGTGGCAAGCCCAGTAATCTTTCTGAGCCTCAGTGTTCATTCCTGCAAAATGGGCATCAAACTCACACCACAGGGACGTGCTCATTCATTTACCGTGTACCGGATACACTGGGGGAACAGTGGTGAGAGACCCAGACATGCTCCATGCCAGTGTTGCTATGGGGGGAACTGGAGTCACTTACGAACAATATTAATTTTAAACATTGTAATCACCAAGTTCATGTCAACACATCTAAGAAACTGTTGTACATTAAGAAAAACAGCCAAAGGAAATTTGACGGTTTCTCTGGCACGTTTTAACACAAACAAGCTGTAGCTGGTACTAAAACTTGGAGAAAACAGAGTGGCACAGGTAACCTTGGACAAACTGTAGCCAAGAAACAATATCCTCCTGGGAAAAGCCCGCTGTTGTTCAGTCCCGTTGACGGGAGCCTCCCTGGAGAAACCCCGGGCAGGATGGCTTTCAGTGCAGCTCCCAGCTCAAAGTCTCCATCACCCTACAGCGCCAAGCAGGGGCTGGGCCACCAGAGGGGCAGAGGCAAAGCTGGGGGAGGGGCCCTGCCAAGCACATTGCCTCCAGCACGTACATCCCACTTTTCCCATTTGTTAAGTGGGGATGATGCCAAACTGAAATGGATGAAGACGGTTGGCTAAGCACAGGCCTACTGTCCCTCCTGTCCAGAAAACCCACGAAACGGCACAAAAGGCTTAAGGGGAAAATTCACAAGCATGCTGAGCAGGCTGAGTCCACTGATAACCTGGCCATTAGCTGTCCCTGCTAGGACTTCAGAATCATCTCTTTGTTTATTACGCGGAAGAATCCTCTGAATCAGCAGCCCCATTCTTCCTTGAGGAAAGGGAGGCGCTGAGAGACTGAGCCTCTCTTCCGAGGCCACACTGCCAGGAAGAACACCAGCTGCTGCTCAGTGCCTGGGGCCCGTGGGATGGTGGCGGGTAGCAGGGGTCCCCAGTCGGCAGTGCCATGATTCCGTCCCTTCAGCTTCGGCTCACCCCCTTCCCTCCCCACTCACACTTTGCGGTCATTCAACAGCATTCCGTTCATGGTGCTGATGGCCTTCTGCGCGGCCTCCCGGGTCTCAAAATGGACAAAGCCAAAGCCTCGGGAGCCATGATCATCACACACCACCTGGGCAAGAGAGAAAACGGACAAGGAGAGCATGCAGCTGAGGGTCCAGGTAGAACGGAATGGCCCGGTGATAACAACTGCTGTCTGAGTGCTGGCTTTGTGCCTGTGATGGACAATCCTATGTCACACACAACAGTTCCATTTTAGAGGTGGGAAACTAAAGCTCAGAGAGGTTGATCTACTTGCTTAAGGTCACACAGTAATGAGGAATAGAGTCCTCAGATTGAACCCAGGTCTTCACTACCGCAGACAAGTTTTTAATTATCTTGCTGAGGTGATGGGCAAGAGGATCAGATTCAAACCTCGATTCTTACATCCTTGTTTCTTTCTTTCTGTTTTTAATATTTTTAATTTTATTTATTTATTTATTTATTTATTTATTTTAGAGCAAGAAGAAGGGAGAGAGACAGAGAGAGAGAGATAAACATGAATTTGTTTTTCTACTTTTCCACGCATTCATCGGTTGCTTCTTGTACATGTCCTGACGAGGGACTGAACCCACAATTCTGGTGTATCAGGATGATGCTCTAACCAACTGAGCTACTTGGCCAGGGCCCTGAATCCTTGTTTCTAACAGCAAATTAGAAACAATCTGAGTATCCATCAGGGAGACTGGTTCAGTAAGTTACAGTACATTCACACTGGTTGTCTCTATGTGTGCAGCTAAAGAGAACTGGTAGATGATGTAGCAGACACACAGTGATCTGGAGAGTACAGCATTATGACAAAAAAAAAAAAAAAAAAAAATCAAGCCCAGTTGCGTTAAAGTGGACATCTACACATGGGAAAAATTTAAACAGAAACACACGAAACTGTTAACAATGATTATTTCTGGGGACTAGGATTGAAAAGAATGGAGCCTTCTTTTTCACTTCATTCCTTTCTACATGGTTTTAACTCTACCAATTCATGTACTGTTTCAACAACCAACTTGTTTTAATTTAGTAAAAGATCTATAAACATTCTACCCTCCCTCTGCCCCCCCATTTTGTAAGCCTCCTGGCTCAAATGAGAAGGACGAAGCTTGAGAACGGGAAGTCTTCAGGTCATGCAGCGCCCATCCCTCTGGCTGAACTTGCACTAAAACACTAACACCCACTTCAAGTGTCCCTGGCTCCACCCACCTCTGCAGACAGTGCCCCAGCTCAGCTAAGTGGCTTTTCTGCCTAGACAACTGCCTAACTGCCCAACCCAGCTTCTGTGCTGATCACTGCTATGCTTCTTCTAAAAGGTAACTGTGACCATGTCCCATCGGGACCTCGCCTCCAGCAGCTCCTACCCTCCACAGAACTAGATCAACTTGGCATGTGAGGCTCTTCAATTGGCCCTGCACTAGTCTTACTTCCAAATCCAAGCCCAACGCACCCTCCTCCACTCTCCAGCCCCAAACAGGGTCCCCCACTTTCGACTCAAGTGCCAGCTTTTCCATTCAGATTCAAGCATGTTGACTGAGTCCCTCCTTTGAGCAAAGCACTTGCTAAGGATATCGTATACTTATCTTGTTATAGTTGCCATAAGAACACTTTCTGCCATTTCTTAACCCCTAAGCCCCAGCTGCCTGATTGGGGAAAATAGGGATAAATATTTATTGAGCATCTACTATGTGTCGCATCTTATTCTAGGTGCTGGGGTACAAAGGTGAAGAAAAGCAGGTTCACGACTCTTATGGAACTTCCATTCTATTGCAAGAGACATCTTAAAAACAAGGCCTGGCCACTGATTGCCATGATGGCCTTGCTGTATCCACACCCTTCGTCCTATAGTTTCTACTGTCCTCTCAGCCTGAATTAGGCCTGGTCCTGTGACTCGCTTCGGCAAATAAAATGCAGCAGATGTGACCATGTGCCAGTTCCGAGCTTAGATCTCAAGAGGCCTGGTGAGCTTCCACTCTGTCTCCGGGCCTTTATCATTGTCATAAGGAAAGCTGGGGCTAGGCTGCTGGAGGATGAAAGGCCACAGGGAGGAAAGCTGAGATGTTCCAGCTGACAGCCCACCACCGCCTAGAAGCAGAGTCATCCGGCTCTCCGTGAGCACAGGAAGGAGCCCAGCCAGCACCAAAAGCCCTGCCCAGCTGGAACTCACCCCAAATCGCCAGCTACAGAATCGTAAGCTAAATAATGGTTGCAGACAGGGACTACGCTTGGGGCTGGTTACACAGCATGAGCAGACTGAATCACAGGTAACCTCTGATAGGTTTATGAAGATGGAACTGGAAGGACCGCTACCATTCAGGTACTTGCTGAAGCTGGAGCTTACCTGAAAAGATGTCATATCCTGTAAAGTGAGGTGCTGCGTGGAAGCCCTTGACCACACAGGTACTTGACACAGACACCCCCTGCAAGAGGCACACCCACCTTGCAAGAAAGGATGCTCCCGAAGGTGGAGAAGGTGTCATATAAGGCCTTGTTGTCAATGGACTCCTCCAGGTTCTTGATGAAGATGTTGCCCACACCCGACTTGCGAAGTCCTGGGTCTCGCTGGGACCACATGATGCGGATGGGCTGGCCTTTGATCATTTCAAAGTTCATTGTGTCCAGTGCCCGCTCCGCTGGACAGGAGGAGGAAAGGAGCAAGTTCAGGGGACTTTCTTTCCCTGAGCTCTCAGGTGCTTAACTGGGAATCCCCTCCAAAACAAAAAAAACAAAAAAAAAAAAAAAAAAAAAAAGAAAGAAAGAAAGAAAGAAAAGAAAAAGGAAGAAAAGAGCCAGTCTCTGGGTCTCACTGGACAGAAGAGCCTGAAGGCCCAGGAGGGATAAGAATTAAAGTGTATGGCACTCCTGCCACGTTTTAGGATCTCATTCAAACTCCTCACTGTAGCTACATGAGCATCGATTCCTACCCCCATTTTAAAGAAGGAAAAACTGAGACTCAGACAGGGGAAAGATGAGTGGCAGAGCCAGGTGTGCTGTGCTCTCTAAAGCACGCTGAACAGATGAAAATGTAAAGGAGGGCTCCTCTGACAAACACTGGCAGCATTTTAAGGAAATTAAAGCTCAGAGGTGCTGAGCAGCAGAGTTGAGATTCACTCCCAAGTTGTAGGGTTTTGGGGGAGGTGAACATCATCTCTGTGAGCTGGTTTATTCCTGTACAGTAGGGCATGATGATAATATTAACTACCCTCTCACACTTAACAAAGGGAGATAATACCATCTACCTCCCTGTTGCTGGACAGGCTGAAAATTAAATAAGGTATGCAAGGTGTCTTGTCCTTTGCACCCAGCACAAAACAGGTGGTTGGCAAATGGCAATGTCTGAACACAGCAGCCTATGGCCGTCCTCCTGCCACTACTATGGCCTGTCCCCCTCCCAAGCAATGTGCTGTCCCCTGCTTCAAGGATTCCTCTACTTTCAGAGGCATAGAGAGGAACTATTCAGTGGAGCTCATTTCAAGTCTGGTTTTCCCATCTAGATCTGCCAATGAACACCCAGGGGCAAAACCCCTTCTCTCTGGAGCTCGGCTTCACTATCTATGAAGTGGCCAAAAGGTCGGGTTGTGCAAGGCTTGGAGGAAGATGGAAACGGCAGCGGGTGGGGAAAGCAGAGCGAAGGGGAAGTCCCCCTGGAATCCAGCTCAGGCACCCCTCATCCACTGGGAAACAGGCTGAAGCACCCCAGCAAACCCCCAGCTCAGGGAGCCTCCCCATCCACCCAGGAGAATGAGGTAAGGGAGCTCTCTTTTGGTCTTGGCCAGCCAGGCCATTTTTGGTTGTTTCTGGAGTCTTACACCTGAATGATACAGTTACCACTATTTTTCTCAGATTACTACCACTTACTGAGCCCATCCAGTGCGCTCAACATACTTCATAGACACAGCTCCCTTCCCACGCTGCCGGGGAATAAGCCTTAGCCCCATTTCACAGAGGGAGTGTTGAAGGAGAACTCTTGCTCAAGCTCACACCCTAGTGGTAGAGCTGGAGCAAAACCCGGTGCTCTTAAATCTTTCAATTCTCTCAGCGCAAGTGTGGACCTGTCCATCTGGAAAGTTCTAATCAATCCCATCAGCTCTGAGAAACGTGCTGTGGAGCTTAGAGTGGACGTGGCTTTTCAGGGCTCGCCAAGGAGGGGGCGCCTGGTGCAGACCTGTCACGCTTGCTGGCAGGGGCCGAGCCTCAGGCCCAGCTCCCCTGGCTGCCCCACTCATCACCTGTGTCGCCTCCCACATCTTCCTCACCAGGTGCTTTGAATTTTATCCTCTTCCCAACCACTCCATCCAGCAGGTCCCATCCCCGTCTTCAGACTGAATGCAACTGAAGCTCAGAATGGTTGAGTAATTTGCTCCAAGTCACACAGCTGCTGGTTTTCAAATCCCAGGTCGGCCTGGCCCCAAAGCCCTTGTCTGTTTTCACTCAGCCTTAATACCTCCCCTCTGCAAAATGGAGCACAGTAAAACATAGAGTAGCCGCGCACTAATTGCTAGTTCCTGTCTCAGGGGCCTCTCTGGGACTCAGTTTCCTTGACTGCAAAACTGAAGATGCCTGAGATGAAAGGGCGGATGGCCGAGATGCGGTCGGTCTGTCAGTGCATCTGACCCCCTCCCCCGGGGCTCACCGTCGGCGGGCTGCTGGAAGTTGACATAGGCGTAGCCCAGCGAACGACGGGTGGTTACGTCGCGGCACACGCGGATGGACAGGATGGGACCGGCGGGCGAGAACTTCTCGTAGAGCATGGCCTCAGTCACGTCTGGATGCAGGTCGCCCACGTAGAGCGAGGCGAGCGGGAGGCCCATGCCGCTGGCGTGCATGGCGGGCGACGGGGGAAACGGGGAGCGGGCCGGCGCAGCTCCGCGCTCGACGCCCGTGTGCGTCACCCGGGCGAGAGCCTCGGCGACGGCGGGCGCACAGGGGGCGCAGGACTCTCGCTCCCGGGGCTGGCCGCCCCTCCCTTTACCGCTCCCGGCGCTCCGCGCGCCAATCGGCTACGCTCGGGGCCCCTCCCTTCTTAGTTCCCCACCTGGGACCCCCCCTCAACATTCTAGAAGCCTCAGGTGGGCGGCATCCCTGGCCCCGCCCCCGGAGGCGGGGAGAGCCCTCCTCCCGCGACCCGGGGCGCGGCTACCCAGATGCCGGGGAGCTGAGCCCTCTGGGAGGGCCCGGGACCAGAGTCCTAATCATCCACGTCATTGCTTTTCTGGGCCCGACCTTTCCTTGTAAGCTCCATCTGCGCAAGGATGGAAGGAGACCATACAACGTGTGACAAACGGGAGAATTCGGAGCCGTATGTCTGGCCAGGTTCAAAGGGGTGCACCTAACCACCTGAAGAAGTCTTTTTCTCCGGACAGCTCGGATCTAGTTCCACCAACTTGGAACTGGCTTTGTGACCTGGAACTGAAGCCTCCATGTGGGAATTCGGGACCACCAAAGCCTTCCTCGACGCCGATTCTTAGCTGTCAAGACCTTTTCCTGGGCTATTCCCTGCCCACCCCTTTCTCTTAAAGGCTCTATTCCACCTGCATGCCAGGTGGTTCGCCAAGTTACTTGTAACCCAGCCTCTACGGGAACAGTTGGAGGCTTAACAGAATGTCGGGGCGCGGTCCCAAGCTGAGCCTCAGGACCCCTCTGTCAATCTGAGTGTGCGGCTTCAATTCTGAATAATTCCAATTCATCGTGGAACAGTACTTGCCTGATTTCTCTGCTGCAACGAAGCGAGTGGACTCCCACGGACCCTTGGTTGGGTATGATTTTGACAGGACAGGAGTTAAGTCTGGATGCCCAGCCTACAGTAGCAAGAAAGCGCCAATTCTAATCTTGGACTAAGAAATACTCCCTCTACCCTATTTCTTCTTTGTGGGAGTGTGGACATTTTTAGAAAGGGGCGAATCCCATGAGGAAACACAGTGCTACCATAAACAGCACTGGGACAGATGAGACACTGGCATTACTCTGGAGATCACCAGGCCTTATATAACCCTCTCTCACTGTCTCGGTTTACATCTCAGGGTTTAAAAAGGGTGGGGGCCAGGGCTAGCTGGGTAGCTCAGTGTTAGAACGTTGCCACATAAACCAAGGCTGCAGGTTCAATCCCAGTCAGGGCACATACAAGACTCAAACAATGAAATGCATAAATCAGTGGAACAATGAGTCGATGCTTCTCTCCTTTCCTCTCTAAAAATCAGTAAAAAGAGCATAGAATATTTTCAAAAACCACACAAGAGCAGGGACTTGAATGTAATGCAAAGTCCCCTGGCTGCGCCAAAATTAGGAGCTCCCAAAGACCTAACACACACTCAGTCTGTGGAAGGTGGATAGGTTCTGTGTTAAATTAAGGGTAATCTCTTTCCCTTAACACCGTGACTTCTGGTTCGAAAGGATGACATAAAGCTGCTGCCTACTTTTTAAAAAGTAGAGCCCAAAATAAATGTGACCAAAATAGTTCACTAATTCTGGTATTGATAGACATAGTTCCACACATCAATTCACAGGCAACTAACTGATAAAATTTTTTATTTCACTTTTGAATTTTTACACGTTTCCTGATTATTCCGTGTAAGGTGGAAACTAGAACTGTTTAAAAGACATACACAAATCTAGTACATCAATAACCGGGGTTTTTTCTTTTTTGCTCTATACTATTTTCACAACCACGGGTGTGCTTGCTAGGCAATATTACCGTCACGGAAGCAAACGTGAGGCAGAATACTGGTAAGGAAGAACAAAGCAAGAAAGAGCTACCAGATATACAGACAGGCTCGTTCCACATTCACTACTGCATTTTCAAGCGCCAAGTATTTAACTGCACATTTTTGTTCAGCTAGAAAGAGGGGATTTTTTTTTCTTTTTTTGGTTTGTTTTCATCAGTGCATGAATGTCTCTTTTCTCATTTCAGCAGATGGACAAACAGATGGACACTACAGCTGTGTGGAATGTTGAAGACGGGCGGGGGGATACTGTGAGACTGGTAGGCCCGGGTATTCTGGATTCTCCCCACTGCAAGTGTTCATGCAACTTCCCTGCATTATAGGGTCTTGTTGAAACATGTCTGTGAACTTGGCTGGATGAGTACAGTTGGGAGATCTGGTGACAGGTACTAACAAGCATTATCAGGGCTGGCTGTAAATACAGGAAGAAGTCGTGGATACTTAAAAATATTTTTTTCAATTCAGATCTTGGTGTGACTTAAGAGCAGCAACTGCGCTGAGAACAGGAAGACAGAGCTATGGTGCTGGAAGCTCTTCGCAGCTTTTTGAAACAAGGCCTGCTCACCCAAGTGCTCGCCCATTTCATTTCTCACCCCCTCCAGGCCCCCTATCCCTGCCCATACAGTATTAAACCGTGAACAAAAGACAAGCAGACTTCAAAAAGAAAAAAAAAAAGGCAAAGCAGCAGGACAGAAATTTAAAGAGGGAAGAGAAAAAGAAAGTCAAAGTCAAAAAGACAGTGGCAAGGAATGTTTAGATTTCAAAATTTAAAGCCCCGAGCAAGGAAAAACCCAAAGACTGAGTACTACTCATGTGAAAGGTAATCTCTGCAGAACATTATTCTTAAAGGTATACCCAGGAGACAGATAAGGCCATTCATAAGATACACGGCTTTCATTCTTCTTTAGCTCATGGTTACAAGGAAAATAGATTCCACGACTGAAGCACAAGTCGCAAATCAGTGACACTGTTGTAGGACAGGGGTTTTAGTCATGTGTGTTACTTTGAGCACTGGACCTTCTCATGGTGTCATAACCCAGTTATCTGCCACAAAAAATTTCCATTTTAAGCTTTGCGTTTCCTCAGAGGAAGACACTGGACATCTACGGTCATAAACTTTTGAGTGGCAATAGCCCAAATTGGTCAAGTGTCTATAAGAACAAGAGGCAGAATTACTGTGAATCGCCATCAAACTCGAATGTGAAAGGATAGCTGTGTCTCACTCCAAGTTCCAGCATCACAATATAATATCTATACCTTTCTGTACAACTTTACAATGGAGCTGTATTTCACTGACTGTTCTGATATCAGATTAAACTTCCCAAAAGTTACAGATAATTTAGGTCTATTTTTGTTTTCCTAGTAAGAGTGCTGCTTTTTTACAAAACCCCATAATCACAGTGTTCAGTTTCAAAACAAATTAAACACACAGTAATCCTGTCAATGTTAAAAATCGAAACTTCAGAATGCCGTGGCATTTATGTGACCATCTGAGTTTGAGATACAAATACCAGCTGTTTATCCCATGGACCATTTTTGCTAGGCTGAGGTTGTGAAAAATCGAAAAGTCGATGTACGATTCTTTTTTTTCTTTTCTTTTTATCGCACAAAGGGATATATATGGAGGGTACAGAGTGACATCGAACAGATCACGACGCATGACAGACATTAATTCTCTCCCTCCCCAGCATCTCCTTCATCTCCCTGGTTTTCCGACGTCCACAGCTGCAAGAGAAAAACAGAGCTGTAATCAAAGTAGGGCCACTAAAATTCACCCGGGGAGGTTTCCCAGTCTGCAGCATCTGATCTCCCTCAACTGTTTAAAATTCTTCCTGTATGCTGACAGTGATGACTACACAAAGGTCAAAACTTTAGCACTTATTTAAACACTCAAATTTAACCAATTTAACATTTAAAAATGTTAACTATGCTTAGAAGATACCAAACCCCTCGTGAGTCTTGGTGATGAGGTGAGTGAATGGAGACTGTTAAACCCTCCGGAAGCGGTCACTGAAATCAGTTGTACTTACAGTGAGATTGTCCCTAAGCAACTGCATGATCAACGTGCTGTCTTTGTACGACTCTTCATTCAGTGTATCCAATTCAGCAATTGCTTCATCAAACGCCTACAACAAAAAGCCTTTAGCAAAGAAGTCACAGATTCTCTGGAGCAAGTGCAGCCCAATTTTTTTTCTGCTAAAAAGTAAATATAATTCTTTCTGCTATCCAGTACCCTGAGGGACCCTAGGCCATTATGACTTTGTTTTGCCAGTTGTTTTAGCAAACATATAATACGTGTTTATAAAGCACCAACCATGACCAAAATTCCTAGATAAGAACTTTACCCAGAAGGCAAATTCACATAATTTCTTACCTACCAAAGATATTTCTATAGCAATCCTTTAAAAACCTCCAAAGGTCTGGATACAAGGGATGAAGGGAGAACAGAAATTCATACCACTAAATCCTAATTTGATTCAGTAATGGAACTTCTGAGAACTCATTTCACATACTTTTTCTAAATGAAAAAAATTAAAAATAACTGTGCATGGTTAATGCCTACCGAATTATGTAGAAAAGGCAGCTGGGTTACCAAGAGATTAGGAGGTAACCCAGCACACACACAAAAAACATGGTCCTATTTCTTTCATTTCCACAGCTATAACCTCAAATCTTGGTACAACGAATATATAATAAATATACAACAGAGTCCTACAACCCAAAGCTTGACAAGGAACTACTTTCACCCTGAATTTTCCACAACCACCCCCTTAAAATGCTAATCAAACAATAAAAGTAAAACAAAAATAGAAGGCGTTGAGAAGAGATCAAAAGGTAGGTATGAATTTATTTCATTAACTCCTACTCCCCTGAAAAATCTTCACATAAATCCAGGACAATGAGTTCTATTCCGGGAATAAGTTACTAAAAAGCACAGCGCTGTTTCACTATGCTCAGAAACCACAGAGGGTCTTTCTCACCGTTTTCGCCAGGCTGCAAGCCTTTTCAGGAGAGTTGAGAATCTCATAGTAAAACACTGAGAAATTCAGTGCCAGGCCAAGTCGAATTGGGTGTGTAGGCTGCATTTCTTTCTTACTAATTTCAAATGCTTCCTGGTAAGCCTGCTGAGAGTTTGACACAGTGGCTAAAAGAAAGATAAAAAATATTAAAGGGTTGGGTTCGTTCATAGGCTGCATCATACACTGAACCACTATCAAATGATTTTACCAAACTGGGCTGGATTAAATGACCTATCAAATGACGGATCAGTGTCTGTACCATTTGTTGTACTATATTAAATGCTTTGGAGGACAACAAGACAAAGCCCACTAAAGCAATTAAGAAATACAGAAATAACCTTTAACAAGACAGAACATAAAAAACAAAATGCTATAGTGGAAACATCATGGACTTTTGACTCAAACTTGAATCACCAACTCTTATTCACTAGGTGTGTGGCTTGAAGTGAAAACCTCCACATCCTTGGGTTTCTTTATAGAAAAATGAACCGACTCCCACCTAAGCCCCGGGGATGTGTAAGGAATAAATGAAACTCAACAATACTTGGCACACAGTAGGTACTTAAATAAAACACACCTATAATTATCAACATCACAGTAATACATGTATGTGATAAAAGAAATGTATCACTGTATGGTGGTTTCATGCCTTCAAACTTTTTCAAGTTTTACCTCTAAAAAGAGAGCTACAAAATAATCCCAAGATAAAATTCTCTTTAAAAGCACTACTGCACCAGACGTTTAACGCCCTCCTTTCCTTCCCCTTGGGTACACTTTGATCTGTCAACCCCCATGATCCTGTTTATCACAGGTCAGCACAATGCTGTGGTCTTTCAAATTCCGTGTACTGCGATGTTAGTGTCTACAGTGAATGAACAAGGAAAAAACTATTAAAATTATTATGAAGACTTGCTGCACTACAGATCAAATTTTTTTTTTAAAGTTACTTACTTTGCTTATTGTCTCCAGATGCCACCTCAGAAAGATATCTAAAATAATCTCCCTTCATTTTCAAGTAGAACACCTTACTTTCTGGTTGTGTGGCATTGGGAATAAGATATTTGTCCAACAGCTCCTAAAAAATGATTCACATTTTGTTAAGAATCTGGAAATATTATTCACAAGCTGTTAAAACTATGAGATTCAAGATACACGCTACCACTTCTAAATAATTTTTTTTTAAGATTTAAAAAAACATTTTTCATCCAAAGCTTTTAAATGGTTTTTAGCCCAGGTCATAACAGCAGACGTCTGTTTTCTTCTGTTAAAAATCACTTCGACCATCCATAAGGGGTTGATTAAAGTAGAGCCATATAATGGGATGCTATGTAGGCCTTAAAAAATGATGATGCAGAACTACAGTAATATGAAAAGGTTCTCAAAAGAAGTCTGAGTGGAAAAAAAAAGATTATAAATGCCATGTGAATCCTATTTTAACATTAAAATGTATGTGTGTACACACACAAAAATATGTACTGAAAAAGTCTGGAAGGATAATTTTCAATGTTAACAATCGTTCTGTAGGTGGCAGGAACTATTGGTATGACCCCGGACAAATGACCTAATTACCCTGAGCCTCAGTTTCCTCAGCTCTCCATCAGGAAGCACAATAGCCATCTTCTAGGGGAGTTATAAGAGCTAACGTACGTAAAAGTGCTTAACAGGTTGCCTGGCACATAGTAAGCACTCAAAAAATAGCTACTACTAGTATTAATAATAAATTCCTTTAAACATTTATGCTTACAACAAAAGCAGTTCTGAAGGAGTCCAAGCTTCGTAAACAGAGCAATATTTTCGAAGAGTTGTTTTAGAATGTGGCATCCTGAAAAACTGGTTAAGAGGCAGTAAGTACCATGCTTTCTTCACATTCTTTCAGATGCTCTTAAAAGCTCGTCTACGTTTTCAGGAATTATAGAACTTCCTTGCCCTTGGAATACATGCCATACTTCATCTGAGTATCAGATGTACCTATCATTCAGGAATTAGTGCACCATTAACAAACTCCCATATTACCAACAGGCAACAAATTTAGTCATGACATTCTTACACTATGAGTTGAACAAAAAGAGCAGCTCAATGCAAAAGCTTGGTTATAAGGGGATTGAATCAATCAAGGTGAGGAGATGCAAAGGGCAGTAGTCATTTTAATATTCTTTGCAGACAGACAGGGTGTAACTCCTTATGGGTTAGGGACGAGAACTGCCTGATGGCTGACAAGCTTTGTACAGGTTTTCAAAAGAAAGGTGTCATGGGCAGTAACTCGGAGAGGCAGCCAGCAGGGGAGGAGGTAGATCCACAAGTGTGAATGCCTTTTCCCTTCAAAGCAGCCCTCACCGTTCATTTTTTACCTGATTTCACCTGGAAGAAAAAGAAAGTTCCCAGTGGGCTCAGGATGCGAGGGAAAGACAATAGATCATGATTTGCTCTAGGATATGCACCCCCCCCTCCAACCCCAGATGCGGTCAGGGTGAGAGCAGTTCGGAATCCATCACCCGACCAGGGCGTCTATAAAACACTGGATGGGAGAACCCCCACAACACTGCTGATTTGGCTTTGGAACACAGGACTCAGCTTTTTACCCCTGATACAAAGAATAGCCTATCCAAAGCTGCATCTAACTATAATGCTGCCGATCTCGACTCAATTTGTAAAGAAAAGATGGAGGGATGTTGACTAGATGTTCCTGTTTCTCACAGGTCTTTTTGAAGAGAGAGGAAAATTCCCCGTAAGTGATAAGCAACCTCTGATCAAGTAAGAGGTGAAAAAAATCTTATCATATGCTTCAAAATTATTTGCAAATGGTTTGCAGCTTTCCAGTATATTCAGGCGCCTTTGCCTCATAGGCTGTTGGAGAGCCTGCATTTGCACATTAAATTAATACAGCTCAGAAATCACAGTTTAAAACACAAACACTGGCCTCACCAGAACATCGTTGCAGATGTCCTGCAGCTCTGCCTCTATCTTCTCCCGGTACTCTTTGCCCATCTGCTGCTTCTTCTCGTTCCTCTCTGTTTTCTGTTCGATGCTGGAGATGACACGCCAGGAAGAACGGCGGGCACCCACCACGTTCTTGTAGGCAACAGAGAGCAGGTTTCTCTCCTCATTGGAGAGTTCGTGCCCCTGTTCCGTGACTGCCTTCATGGCCGCGGCCATGTCATCATAGCGCTCAGCCTGCTCGGCGAGTTTGGCTTTCTGTACCAGCTCACTTTTATCCATGGTCATTCCCTAGAACAAGAGCAGGGGAAAGAAAGGAAGAGAGAGAGAGAGAGAGAGACAGAGACAGAGACAGAGACAGAGACAGTAAATGTCAGGCTTCAGGACCCAGGAACTTCATGTGTGAATCTTCTAACCACCTGGAAAGAAACATACCTACATGTGAAACATCTACACCCAGATACCCTCAGCAACGCTGACCAGAGAGCCCACTGGCTCCAGCACACTGCTACAGTCTTTTTATTACTTTGGTCCATTAACTTCCCCTACAGTCCCATAGGGCAGGTATATTCCCAACAGTCCCGTCCCCACTTCTCTGAGTGAAGAAATGGAGGTTCAGAGAAGGCAGCACTGCTTGGAGATGATGGAGCCAGAACTCAGATTCAAGTCTGTCTCTAGAGCTTTTGTTTTCTTCCATTTTCCTGAACTGCCTCCTCACCACGTAGAGACTGCTTCATAGTTACGTCTGTGCTCACTTAAGCTAAAGGCGTCCTTTACTTTTTTCAAGAATTGTCTGGTTTTGCCCCTACAGTGTAAGAAAAAAACATCTTAAGTGTGTTGGTTGCTTTAATCTTCAACCTTAAAGCAAAAGATACGACTTTAACTGTTGTATTTGGCAATGCCCATCAAGCAGTAGGTACCTAAAAAATGCATGCCATTTTTATCCTATCTTCTGCAATTCGCTAAATTTGTTACAAGAACACACTGAAGCATAAATTAAGCACAGGCAGATTTGGCTCTATCTAGCACCAGACCTGCTACTTACCAAGTAGTAAGACCTTGGTCAAATCGCTTAACCTCTTAACTTCAGTGTTCTTAGAGGAGAATAAGAAAACTACCACCTCTCCACAAGCCACTGTGAGGAACGAATGACCCAATCCACGTGAAGACGCTCTGAAAACCTCACAGCATTATACTGTATACAAGTATCAGGCACTAATTCTGTACAAGGTATAGTTGAAAAGAGACACGAGTGTATTCAACAATATGCACAGCAACAGAAATTCAAACTATAATTGAGTTCATTTAAAAGTTTTTCTGATATAGGCAAAAATCTTAGTAGCTTCTGCTTATCATTTTATCAAACCCTTTATACACCAATCAGTGAATACCTCTTTTTCACCTCACCTTAGTACCTTCCCGGTATAATAACCATCATTTATAGAGAATACAGTAAATTTTGGATAACATGTACCGAAACAATTACTTATTAACCGATATGAATTAGTTTTATATACTATTGGTTTAAATTTCAATATGTGAGCGAGACTATAGGAGAGATAATAATCCTCATGAAATATTCCAATTGCTCTCCTACATTTCCGTTAACCCCTGCACTTAGGAGTCACGTGTTTAGTTCTGTTCAATGAAAAACATAACCAGAGCTGACACTACTTGCAGGCTGAAACTCCTAAAAGCCTGTGTATGCTTCGCCAGGCTCTTTCCTTACAGCAGCTACCTAGGTGGCCACATGTTCTAGGTGGTGCTGCCACAAAACTGGAGTTTTTGTAACCTGAGACTCTGAGATGAAGGGACTCCTACAGACCTGCACTGGACGTGCAATGTGAAAAAGAAATAAACTTTTGTTGGATTAAACCACTGAAATGGTGGGACTGTTTGTTACTACAATACAACCTAATCTACTCTTAATACAAACACATAAAAAATATATTTAATTCATCATTTTAAAATTATATACTCTCTCAGTATGTCTAACTTTCTTGACCGTAAAGTCTTAGAAATCAGGACATTATCTCCATCACTAAATAACCCTACTTCATTGTTCCTAAAAGAGAGAAGCAGAAAGAAGCGAACTTTAAACAAACTTTAGAAACTTTCCAGTCTATAGACTAATACAGAGCCAGCAGCCACTTAGTGGTCCGCTCCCAAAGCTCATAAAACAGCACCTGTGCAACTCTACCTAGGAAAGATTCCAATTAATAAGGTACTGGCCAAAAGCCAAGGCAGAGCTAAGCCACCCCATGCAGTATTATAAAAGAGTATTTAGAAATACAAAGGCTCAACACTGCTGAAGGGTGCCTGGAAACTCTTTGGCACTACTACCCACCCCCCAATTAAGACGCACGCCTCCTTTCCCCCTTCCCAAAACACTAAAAGTTAACTCACCTCCCCAAAGAACCCGGACTACTCCCTGGGACCTCCCAAAAGCACACGCCCTACTTCTTCTCCAAATGAAATGTTGATCTTTCTGGTTTGGGGCCAACTATTTCAAGCTTCTTTGTGATCACTGCAAAAACTCTTGGGAGATGGAGAACCCCTCATGATATGGTTCAGACTGAACATACAGGCCTTAAACAAAGTATGCATTTCCTTAAAATCTTTGAATTACACACACAAAAACAACTTGCAAGCAAAAGCCATGCCTAAATGTCCTGATGCCTGCCGCTTATGTAACGTAACTTTTGACTTATATAACATGGATTCTGAAGCAGCTAGACCAATTTCAACAGGAAATGGGTTACACAACACCCAGCAGTTTGGAGGAAGGCAGCAGACAACAGAGAAATTAAATTGTTCCTATTTCTCCATCTATAATCAACCTCCCATGCACAACCTTCCCCCAGCCCCAGCGCTTTCAGTCTCTCATTATCTTTGGCCCCCTTCAGGTCTTTGATACCAGACCCATTCTTAATGCCGGTATCAAGCCACTTCCTGCTCAAAATCCTTTAAAGCGCCCCACTGCCAACAGCAGTCAGATTTCCTCAGGAAAGGCTTTCCAACCTGCCTTCCCTGGCCTCTTCCCAAAGCGTGCCCTCCACACTGTATGTGCTGCTGTCAAAATGGGTTTCCTACAGACAAAGGATGTTGCTCACCAAGCCACTCCTCTACCTGGAATGTCCTTTCCCATCTACTCTGCACACAAAATTCTTTCCGAGCATGGCTCATATGTCATCCCTTTCGTGAGGGTTTTCATAAGCTGCTAAGCTTGAGCTGCCCAACATGATAGCCACTTGCCACACGTTGGCTAGTGCTACATGTTTAAGTCATAGTATTTGGATTGTGGAGTTAAATTTTTAAAGTATTAAAATTAATTTCACTCGTTTCTCTTTACTTTTTAAGTGTTACTACCAGAAAAATTTAAATTACATGTGGTGCATCATGTGTGTGCCCCCCCCGCCCCCCACTCAATAACTTTCAATGACTCTCTTTTGGCTCCTCCATCAAACCTGAACTACTTGGCTTTCAAAGTCCTCTGTAACTTGGCTCCTCCAGACCTTTTAGGCTTTCTCGTCTACGGTTCTCCAAAATGCACCTTTCTCCCAGGCTGGACATTACAGAATTTTAGGCATGCTCAAACATGCCTGAAACTGCTTCTGTAGAGCAAGCAGTCTTTTTCTTATCTGTGGTTTCGCTTTCCACAGTTTGTTCCCTGCAGGCAAATACATTCTGAAAATTCCAGAAATAAAAAATTCTTAAGTTTTAAATTATGAGCCATTCTGAGTAGCGCCATGAAGTCTCAGTCTGGCTCCATCCCACCCAGAAGGTAAGCCATGCCTTTCGTCCAGAGTAGCCATGCTGCAGGTGCTCCCCTCGCTGCCATCTTGCTTATGAGAGACAGACACCCACCCACCCACATTCACTTAACCTTTATTACACTGTACTGTTATAATTGCTCTATTTTATTAGTAGCTACTGTTAATTTCTTATTGTGCCTAATTTACAAATTAAACTTTATCATAGGTATGTTATATAAAGAAAAAAAAGTGTGTGTGTGTGTGTATTTGTAGATAGAGGGCTAGGTACTACCTATGGTTTCAGATATCCACAGGGGTCTTGAAACACATCCCTTGAGGACTGCGGGGACTTCTACAGCTCCTTTCACCTAGAGTGCTATTTACCTCCACCTCCTGCCTACGCAAACTCCATCCCTCCATCTAGGGCCACAAGGCCTTCCCTGACTACGCCATCCCCACATGATCTACCCTGCCTACGGAGCCAAATACACGATCGCCTATTACACAGCCTGGGGCTTCTCTGTACCTACGTCCTACATGTTCTAGGGTACAGATGATGAGCAGCGCACTGTGTAAGTTTCATGTGTGCATGTTCTCAAACAAAAGCTTCACTTCTGTTTCTCATTTAATGCCTAAGACAGGCCAATCACAAAACGAATGTTCAAGTAAGTATCTCCGAAGTTCTTCAACAAATCACTAGGAGGAGAGCAGAAAGAACACAGGCTACCTATATGTGGCGTGGCAGAAAGACAACAGGACACTGTATAGGAGCAGGATCTGCCACCACATTGCCAGCCCCGTGAGCTGGTTCAGTCTCAATCTCAGTTCTTCAATCTATAAATGGGAGGCAACAGCTTCTACCTCAGAAGACGTGGTGCTCTGAAAACGAGGGGCAGGGAATTAAAGAATAGTAAATATAAAACAAATTTTTAAAAAAATGCACAGTACATATCACTCCTCTGAGTACCCATACATCACTCTTTTACCCACAAAATGTAAGCTTGGATTTTTTTTTTTAGATATACAACCCATGAGAAAGAAAGGCAAGTCTAGATTAATACTGTACAGGAAGTGAGTATGTTAACATTCCTAGGTAAGACTCTACCTTTCAATGTGCTCAAAACGGACACAAACATTAACTGTTTTATTCAAAAGTTCCTAACTGAATTTTCTAGACGTCAAGTCGTGATGGTTTGTTTTCAGGTCTTTTCTGCTGAGATCTGTGAAGGAAGGTTCCAGACCAAGATCAACATCAGCAAGGGGGCCTTTCTTTGCCTCCTAAAATGCCTGTAAAAGACTGCAGCCTGTCGTCAGCCTGTTGCTAACGCGCAGGCAAGACAGCAGAGCAGAAAAATGTATTAAAAGCTGAAAGACGCCTTAACCCCGCAGGCGGTCAAGAGATTGCCTCGTGCCCGCATAGATCTGGAAGACGCCCACAGGCTCCAGCAGGAATTCACAGACACAGCCACTGATGACGCGGGCTGTCGGCTGTTCAAAGGCACTAGATGCGGGCACTTCAGAGGACAATCTAAATAC